CGGCAGCCGCAGGATGCTCTCACTCTACAAGGACGTCGACTACTTCGACGACGACTTTCACTCATGATAATAATTATCGTAGCTACATTACATTTACATCCCTCTCTTTGTGTTGCCATGTCATCTCACGTCCTTCATCGTGACTGTATCTGGTGCCTTGCCTAGCACCTGACTCACTACCTAACCAAGAGGCTCACCTAGCACATAACCAAACGTCTCACCTACCACTTAACCAAGCATGTGACCTAGCACGTAACCAAACGTCTTACCTAACGCCTAACCAAACGGCTTACCTACCATCTAACATATATTTTGTTTGATGCTCTCAGATGCCCCTTGCTTGCCGCATTGGTCATCCTGGCCTGGCGGTGATCGTGATGTCATAAGGCGGCAGTGATTTGTGATCACATTGGTGCCATTAACTCCGCTAAATACACTCTCCTCCAACAAGTTCAGAGTCTGAATTCATGGATCTCCACCGCCGAGAACATCCGCCAGGCTGCCGAGGAAAAGGCCAAGGAAGCCTACGACAAGTTGAAGGTTAATAAGACTCTGAGTACCAAAATCGGGGAGATTGTTAAAGCAAATGAGAAGATTAAAGATGTTCATGGAAAGCTTGATGGTGTCCATACAAGTTTGGGAGCGTGGAATAAGGAGGCCGGGAAAGTGCTTCAAGGGGCGATTGGAAATGCTCAAGATGTTCATGATGCGTTGAAGGAAGATAATAGTAAGCCGGAATCCATTGGTCAAAATGTGAAAAACATTGAAACTGCTAAAGGACAAATTGAGCAAGCCAATAAAGCTCTTGCCACTGAAGTTGCCAATTTAGGTAACTGGAGGGATGCCGCCAAGGAAGTTATTACCAAGGCGGATCAGAAGTGTGATCAGATACTTAAGAAAGTTGGTAAAAAGTCGAATAATAATAATGATGTTGTAATTAAAAAGGAAGCAGACGCATTGAAGCAAAAAGCGGAGAGCCTTTTGACCGCTTACAGCCAGGCGTATCCTAAAGTAGAAGGTTTGAAAAAGCAAGTTGAAGCTGCCATCTCACAGTTGGAAACCGGCATGAAAAATGATTTGGATAGGCTGCAAAAGGATATTGTGAGCAAGATGAAAAAGCATGTTGGTGAGATGCTTTTGCAGATTAAGGGGCAAGTGGAGAGCATTAAGGGGAGTGACACAAGTAGTTGGAGTGGCGAAACTCCAAGTGGTCTGGATGGCATTGTCGCTGGAGTGCAAAAATATGCGGAGGCTTTTCGCAACAATAATTTTGCAGAAATTGCCAAGGGCTGGCTGGAAGCCACAATTTTGAGGTACAACGGCACCGTGCGGAGGATACTCGGTAAGAAGGATGCGTATGATGAGAAGAGTGAGAAGGATGACATCAGCGCTTTCGCCATTGGAATGAAAGAGAAGCTTAATGCAGATGTTATTGGTATAGCCAAATTGGCGTTCGAAGGTGTTAATACAGTCAGCGGGAGCATTCATACAAATATCAACGCCGTTAAAACAGCTTGTGAGGCGTTTGCCAACGCGCTCGATAAGGAACTTTTGCAGCAGGGAAATAAAATAGTCAATAAGGTTAAAGAGGAAGCGTTGCCATTGGGGAAACTCGTATCTAAGATTACAAGATGCGTCTGCGAGTGCGGTAATTGCAACAAGCCAAACTGTGGCAAAAAAGCCGCCGCGGAATTGATAATGTGCGCGCTGACATCTACAGTGAGACAGGTCGGCAACGAGCTTGAATCTGTATTTCTAGGCGGCGGTGCAAAGGTGGGCGATGGAAAAAGCATCGCACAAGAATTGGACAGCGTCGTCGGCCTGACTAGGACGCTGAGTGATAATCTTCAAGCGGCGGAAAAAGAGGCGAGAAAAGTTCCACAACTTCCCACCCCCGACAACCAGGACAACAATGAAATTTTGAAGAAAGTCAATGAGATTAAGACGGAAGTCAACAAGGGAATGAAGCAAGACGCTGGTCATGACCTAAATGTTAAAGCCGAATTTGAATCTATTATGAAGGATTATAAGAACAAGAGAGATAAAGGAGCAGAAGCAGGCGGCCTCTACAAACAACTAACCGAAAAAGATATCCCCAACGCGATGAAGCCTTTCCAAGACAAGGCTGGTCTCAGCGGTACAAATGAAGTCTCCAGTCAAAAACAAGCCGTCAACTCCGCCCTCGAAAAAATCACCGACGAGCTCAAAGCCATCGCGTGGTTCGTGGATAAAAGCAAGAACAGTAAGCCCGGCGATTACAAAGGTCAGGACGATGATGGCATCAAGCAGCACCTGAAGAAATTGGAAGATGCTCTTGACAAGAGCGGTTTGGATGGAGCTGAAAAAGGCCTCGACGCAATCAGACTGGCGATCCACGGTCTGCAACAAGGGACGTTTACTGACAAACCCGCTGCAATCGAAGGAGCCGTCAAAGCAATTAGGCAGCAGCTTGGAGAGCTTAGAGGGAAGTTGAAGGATGAAAATGGCGCCCCTAAAGATGGTGTTATTGACGAGTTGGAAGATTTGAAGACTGCCGGTGTCGAAGGTAAAAATGGTTGGAAAGTCACTGAGGGTCTGACGAAAATACAGGAAGACCTTAAAAAGCAGAATAATATATTGCCCATCCAAACGAAAATCATTGCAGAATCGCTTGATATAGTCTTTAGAGAAATGAAGGGCGTGCTTGGGCAAATAGGAATGAAATTAGATAATATCTTCATTCCAGATGACGTCATGGATAATTTGACATTATTAAAATACAAGATTGGTATGAATGGGTCAAAAGATAGTGACAGTCTGCAAAATATTAAAAATATAATTAGTGGACTGCAATCCGGTGAATTTACTCAGAAACCGGAACAAATTGGCATAGCCAACGAAGCAATCAAAACAGCACTCAAAGCGCAGATGAGCACGCTGGACAACGACGTCATCAAGACGCTGAGTGAATTGATGACCAAAGGGATGAGTAACGAGGCAAGTTGGAATGATGATAACAATGCTAAGGGCTTGGAGAATATTATTAGTGAACTTAGCAATCAACAAGGCATATTGACCAAACAGCCCGAACAAATTAACCAAGGCGTCAACCAGATCACCAAGGAGCTTGACGATCTGAGGAGTGAGTTGCAGGGTGAGGAAGGCGAAAATGCAGAAAAAAGAGGCGTGATCAAGAATATGGAATTTGTGATAGAGAAGATTGGAACAAATGATGACGATAAGGATTGCCTCAAGAAAATCAAGAAAGACATTGAAGAGCTCAATAGGGACACAGTCCCCAAGGTCACTGAACACCTTGATAAGCTCTGCGAAGCCGTTCAAACTGCAGGAGCTTACGCCGGTTGGCATCTGGGCCAGTTGGAAACTCCGCATATTAACGAAAAACTTGAAAAAATCAAGAATGGCATCCACACCCTACGCATAGATGACCTCCAGGCGGCCATCGCCATGTGCGCTGACTTCCTCACCAACGCCGATTACATAAAATGGGAGAAAGTGGAAAACATTGAACGCTTCGTAGACAAGGAGATAGAAAATGCAATCGCGGAGCTCACCAAGCAGGCGCGGCGGGACTACGTGGAGTCCGCGAAGGACGCGCTGAAACACTTCGCCGCCAAGGTGGCCGAGGAGCTGGGGGAGCTGCCCGGCGAGATAAACAGGGATCTCTTCGTGGGCTTCAAGGGCTTCATGAAATACGTGTACGGACATTTTGATAACCTCGAAAGCGTGATGGAAGAGAAGGAAATTCAAGCATTGTCCTCCGCGTTCCAGAATTTCTTCGCGCCGCTCGACGAGTATCTCCGTGAGGAGATTGAGAGAGTGAAGAAGCAGAGTGACGACGAAAAGAATCCCTCACTGCCGAAGTCGGAAGAGCCCTACGCCGCCGAGTGGGACGCCGTGCACAGCGATGTCAACGCCCTGCTCAATTACCTCTGCGTGACGCAGGGCTTCGACGACAGGCTGCGAGGCCTGCTCCACAACCTCACCGACGCGCTCACACAGCTGAGGCCGCAGGGCTTCCAGAAGCCCTCCACTCCCACGCTGGACTCCGTGAGCAGGGGACTCAGTGCCTTCGCCGGTGAGTTCGGCGGTGCGTACATCTCCACTTACTCGGGCGCGGAGTGCCGGGAGGCGGACGCCGACAAGTACGCCAAGGTATTGCTGAGCTTTATTCCGATGGCGCACAATGGGCTCACCAACCTGGCTGCCAAATGCGGCACCAACTGGCGAGGCAATAAGATATGCAAGATCACCGGCGACGGCAGGGACAACGGCCTGGGCAACTACCTAACCAAATGCGGCTACACAGTGTCACCCACCGACGGACTCCAGGTGGGGGAATTGCAAAACCACGGCGACATGAACGGTGAGCAAATTCATGCTTTGCTTAACTCCCCAGTTGATGTCAGCGTCAAAATGCTGATCGACGGCAAGCCTGCGGAAAACGGAATTAATGTTGTCAACTTAGTTGGTCTTCTTCATAACATGGTCTGTCGCTACCTCCAGGTCTGCCACCTTAAAGTACACGAATCGCCCAGGTACCCCTGCACGGTGAGGGACATGTTGTCTTGGCTCTCAGGCCTGCAGTACACTCCGGTGGCGGACAAACTGCCTGACCACTGCAGGGCGTTGCTCAACCGCAAGTGCGACGATAACGATGTCCCCAACAGGGACGACGCTGTCATGGCACAGTGCATCAACGGCCTGCCCTACACTATCGCAGAAGCGTGTTCGTACGCCAACTCATTGCTCGTAACCATACAGGGCCGCGGTCGCGGCTTTGACCTCGCCGCCTACCCCTACTCCGTCGACTTCGCCAACAACACCGCACAGCTGTACTACCCGGCCGACCCCGACGAGCTGCTGGAGATGATGAGACGGATAATATGCCGCCTGTGCTCAGTGCTCTATTTCCTCTACTCCCAGTGCTGCCGTGCCACCGCCGAAACCAAGGGCTGGCGGGAATGCCACTACGGCCGGCGGGTGCCGTACTCCCACTGGCAGTGTAACACCTACGACAACCAGGCCACCGACGCAAGTCACAACTGCCCGCCCACATCGCCGCTGCAGTCCTTCCTCACCGACAGCTGTCCCAACCTCCTGCCGCATAAGCTCAGTGTAGTTGACAATGCCATCGAATGTGCCGACTGCCCTGCCAACCTACCAGGCCAACAGTGCCTCACCCCGCTCGGCTTCTGGGACCTTGGCCTCGCTGCCTCAGTAGAGCGCACCGGCAGGGAACTTGCGAAGTCTCTTGGTTACCTCTGCAGTGACGCCGACGCCTGCCTCTTCCAACTCTGCCGAACTCTGTGCTTGCTCTGCCCCGCAGCACCGCAGTCACTCGGCGACGTGTTTGCGCTGTTCTTCCAAATGCTCAGAGTGTGGGATCACGAATCGTCCCGGCGTGCGTACTCTCACCATGAGAGTTACCTAACGCACCTGAACGGTGACGCTATCAACGGACTATTCCCGCTGTGGAAACAGCTCCACTGCAGTTACCAGAACAGCAATCTCACCGAAGCCCTCAAGGCACTCGCCGGCCATGACCATAACAACTCAGGGCACAATGCCCTCTCAAGCCTCTCCGCCGAGCCGCCGTGTCAATCACCCAGTGGATGCGCCCCCTTCCTCCAATCGCTGTCGCTGCACGCCAACCACACCTTCCCGCAGAAGCACGCACAGCTGTATGTCTCGTGGATAGTGTGGCTGGCATGGCAGCTGTGGGAGCTGCTGGAGTCCCTGCTGGACGCCTTGAACAACATCGACTGCACGGCCCACGGCTGTGCCACGTGCCTCTGTCAGCCAAGCAACCACAACGACAAGGACTCCTGCCACTGCCCGTCACTCGTCGAATGTGGCGGACCTCTGCCGACACTCTACCGCTACGGATTCACGTATCGCAACGCCCACGTCCTGCTCGCCGGCAGCCAGAAGATACGGTGCAGTGACCTCAACGACCAACTCACCAAGGCACTCCACTCCGACCACTTCACTCAACTGTTCCACCAGATCGACCAACTCCTCTACACCATCCGTGCCCCCTTCCTCTTCTGCCTCGCAGCGCTCTGGCTCACCGCCACGCTCTACATCCTCGTCATGCTCCTCTACCGCATGGACGTGCTGCGCATCCGCTCCCACCTACTCACCACCAGGGCCTCTCACCTCATCGACGTCAAGGCTTTGCTCGCCGGCAGCAGGAGAATGCTCTCACTCCACAAGGACGTCGACTACTTCGACGATGACTTTCACTCGTGACAGTAATTATCGTAGCTACATTACGTTTACATTCCTTGTGTTTCCATGTCATGTCACGTCTCTCATCGTGACTGTACACCGTGCCTTGCCCAGCACCTAAGTCACTGCCTAAGCAAGTGGCTCACCTAGCACGTAACCAAGCGGCTCACCTAGCACCTGACCAAAAGGCTGACCAAACACCTATCCTAAGATGTAACCTACTCGCTGCTTTGTCATCTCCCTTCTCCGTTTGTCGCCTTGCCGTCACTCCCTAAACGCCCTCCTTCATCCCTCCTTTCAGTGGATTGAGGCTGCGGACGCCGCCGTTAAGGCGGCTAAGGAGAAGGCGGAAGATGTACATGGAAGGTTGGATCATAATAAAAAAGACCAACACGATGGTACTGTGATTGGCCAAAATATTGAGAAAATTAAGCAAGCTAAAGACAAAGTTAGTCAAGTTGACGATCAGTTGAAATGTATTCACACCGATTTAGGTAACTGGAAAGATGCGGCGCACAGTGTCCTTGGCACAGCAGTTGGGAAGGCTACGGAGGTGCATGGGAGGTTGAAACCGGATGGTAAGGATCCGAAACATATTCTTGGTCAGAACATTAAGGAGATTGGAGAACGTAACAAGGAAATCCAGACAGCAAATTCAACTCTTGGAAGGGAAGTAGCGGCTCTGGGAAATTGGATTGATAGTGCGGAGAAGATTCGTGAAAAGGCCCAGAAAATGGCTCAAGAGGCCCATGACAGGCTGAGAGAATTCCATGAAGGCACTAAAACTAAGACCACGCTTACTGAGAATATCGATAAAATTGTGGAGGCTAAAAATAAAATTATTGGTGTTAACAAAAATATTGGCAGCCGTGTTAATCAGTTGGATCAGTGGAGAGACGCGGCGGAGACTTTGCTGAACGGTGTGATCTCAGATGCTGGGAAAGTGAAAGATAAGTTGAGTCCTGATGACAAAAGTAGGCCGCTTAGTGAGCAGATTAATAAAATTAGTGAAGCCAAGGATGCAATTGTCAAGGCTGATAAACAACTTGAAAACCATCTTGGGAGTTTGAGTGACTGGAAGAGAGAGGCTGAGAGTGTGCTTGTAGGAGCAATAAAAAAGGCGGAGAATGTGTGGAAAGCGTTGGATGAAACAAAAAAAGAAGATAAATCGCTTGGAAAAAATATTGAGAACATTGAGACCGCAAAAAAGGCGATTGAAAATGCGAATCAGAGTCTTGGTGAGGAAGTTGGGCACTTGAATAACTGGCATACTGCGGCTGACAAAATTGTCGCAGCTGGAAAAGTGAAGTGTGAAAAAATTTTGGAGAGAGTTATTAAAGATGGCAAAACTGAGGGTACGCAAATTGGTATAAACGCCCAAGCCTTACAGAAAAAAGCTGAGAACCTTTTGGACGCTTACAGCACGGCGCATAAGAATGTTAAGGCATTGGAGTCGGCAGTTCCTAACGCTATCAAGGATTTGGAAGCCGGCATGAAAGAGGATTTGGAGAGGCTGCAAAGGGATATTGTGCAGAAGATGAGAGAGCATGTTGGCGGGATGCTTGGTGAAATTCAGAAGAGTGTGGAGAGCATTAAGGGGAAGGCAGGAAATATAGCTCCAAATAGTCAATGGGAACATAGTAATATAGGCTCCGGCCTTGCAGGCATTTCAACGAAGGTGCAGAAATATTTCGAAGCGTTCAACGGGCAGTGGCCGTTTGACCGTATAGTCGGCGGTTGGATCGATGACATTCTGCAGCACAACGGTGTGGTTAAAAGGCTGCTTGGATGGGATCGTAACAGGGAAGAGGATATTAAGAAGGAGCTTCATGACAGTGGTATCGGAGGCTCAATTAAGTCGCCGCTCGACGAACAAATCAAGGCAGCGGTTGCCGTGTTCAAATATACACAATCCACTGCTACCGACGGCATCGAGTCTAAAATCTCACAGGTCAAGCAGGCCTGCGAACTGTTTGCCAGGACGCTGGATGAGGAGAAACTAGAGAAGGACTTTAAAACTGGCGTCCTTGCGATGGCCAAGCAGGCTAAGGATGCGATGGTGGAAGTTGACGATAAGGAACCGAGCAAACAAAGTCACTTAAAAGGTATCATACAAAAGGCAAAATGCACATGCTCGTATGGAAACTGCAGCAGCGGTAATTGCCTAGAGTGCACAGACCAAAAATGCATCCTCACGCAGGCCGTCGCCACCACACTCCTTGCCGTGTCCTCGGTGGGCAGGCAGGTGGGAAAGGAGCTTCAGTCTGTGTTCCTTAGTCCCGACGACGCAAACATCGCATCCTTCCTGGACGCTGCGAAGGCGGCAACTGACAAGCTTCACGAGAATCTGGGGGAAGCGGCGCAAGCCGCGACTAAACCAGGCCCACAACCTCCCACCTCCAGCAGCCAAGGCCCCAATAACATTCTGCAGAGCGTTCAGGGGATTGAAAGGAAGGTTAAAGAGGGGATGAAGGATAATAGTCGTGATGGCAACATAAACGTTAATGAAGTCATGACATCGTATAAAGAGAAGAAAGATAAAGCAGCAACTAATTCAGATGGCAAATACCAAATGCTTCTTGCAGACATCCCCCAGGCGATGGAGCCTTTCACAACGGAGGCTAAACTCAAGGACCCAAAAGAGCTCTCCAGTCAAAAACAAGCCGTCAACTCCGCCCTCGAAAAAATCACCTCCGAACTCCAAGCCATCGCGTGGTTCGTGGATAAAAGCAAGAACAGTAAGCCCGGCGATTACACCGGCACTGATATGGATGGCATCAAGGATCACTTGGCAAATTTGAAAAACGCTCTTGACCAGAAAGGATTTGATGGAGTTGAGAAAGGCCTTGACGCAATCAGACTGGCGATTAACACTCTGCAACAGCAACAGTTCACTACCCAACCCAAAGCAATCGGCTCAGCCGTCCAAGCAATTAGGCAGCAGCTTGGAGAGCTTAGAGGGAAGTTGAAGAAAGATGGTGATAAAAGTGGCGTTATTGATGCGCTGGATGATTTAAAGGAGAAGGGTCTCGAAGGAAAAGATCCTTGGTCAGTCAACGGTCAATCTCTCAGCGGCCTTGGGAAAATCCAGGAGGACCTTAAAAAACAGAATGAGACATTAGGCAAACAGCCTGAAATAATCACTAACGCCATCAGCGCAATTAGGGATCAACTATTTCAGATAGGAATAAAGTTGAATAAGCCCTTCGACTACGATGACGTTTTGGACAAATTGATTCAGTTGCAAAGGAAGCTTGGCACAGCGGACGCCCAAAATTATGGTGTCAATCTAAAGAAAATCTACGATGAAATTCATTGGCAACAAATCAGTACATTCACCCACAAACCCTACGAAATTCAGGCAGCCAACGAGGCAATCAAAGTGGCACTCAACGAGCAGATGGACACGCTGGACAAAGAGGTCATCGAGAAGCTGACCAATTTGATGACCACGGGGCTGAGTGATCAGGCAAGTTGGCAGCCTAGTGGACAGAAAAATGCCAAGGGCTTTGATCATATTATTAGTGACCTCAGCAATCAACAAGACACATTGACCAAACAGCATCCGGCAATCGGCAGTGGCGTTCAGAAGATCACCAGCGAGCTTGACGAGCTGAGGAAGCAGTTGCAGGGTAAGGACGGCGATTTGGCAGAAAATAGAGGCGTGATAAAGAATATGGAATTTCTGATAGGGAAGATTGGAAAACAAGATGACGATCCTAATAGCCTCAAGAAAATCAAGAAAGAGATTGACACGCTCAACAAGCAGACAGTCCCCAAGGTCAGTGAACACCTTGATAAGCTCTGTGCGAAAATCAGACTGCAAGCACGGGACGCCAAATTCTTTTTAAAGGAACTGGAAGAAGTAAGCGTCGATGAGAAACTGAAAGGCATAAAGGATGACATCCACACCCTACGCATAGATGACCTCCAGGCGGCCATCGCCATGTGCGCTGACTTCCTCACCAACGCCGATTACATAAAATGGGAGAAAGTGGAAAACATTGAACGCTTCGTAGACAAGGAGATAGAAAATGCAATCGCGGAGCTCACCAAGCAGGCGCGGCGGGACTACGTGGAGTCCGCGAAGGACGCGCTGAAACACTTCGCCGCCAAGGTGGCCGAGGAGCTGGGGGAGCTGCCCGGCGAGATAAACAGGGATCTCTTCGTGGGCTTCAAGGGCTTCATGAAATACGTGTACGGACATTTTGATAACCTCGAAAGCGTGATGGAAGAGAAGGAAATTCAAGCATTGTCCTCCGCGTTCCAGAATTTCTTCGCGCCGCTCGACGAGTATCTCCGTGAGGAGATTGAGAGAGTGAAGAAGCAGAGTGACGACGAAAAGAATCCCTCACTGCCGAAGTCGGAAGAGCCCTACGCCGCCGAGTGGGACGCCGTGCACAGCGATGTCAACGCCCTGCTCAATTACCTCTGCGTGACGCAGGGCTTCGACGACAGGCTGCGAGGCCTGCTCCACAACCTCACCGACGCGCTCACACAGCTGAGGCCGCAGGGCTTCCAGAAGCCCTCCACTCCCACGCTGGACTCCGTGAGCAGGGGACTCAGTGCCTTCGCCGGTGAGTTCGGCGGTGCGTACATCTCCACTTACTCGGGCGCGGAGTGCCGGGAGGCGGACGCCGACAAGTACGCCAAGGTATTGCTGAGCTTTATTCCGATGGCGCACAATGCTCACCAACCTGGCTGCCAAATGCGGCACCAACTGGCGAGGCAATAAGATATGCAAGATCACCGGCGACGGCAGGGACAACGGCCTGGGCAACTACCTAACCAAATGCGGCTACACAGTGTCACCCACCGACGGACTCCAGGTGGGGGAATTGCAAAACCACGGCGACATGAACGGTGAGCAAATTCATGCTTTGCTTAACTCCCAGTTGATGTCAGCGTCAAAATGCTGATCGACGGCAAGCCTGCGGAAAACGGAATTAATGTTGTCAACTTAGTTGGTCTTCTTCATAACATGGTCTGTCGCTACCTCCAGGTCTGCCACCTTAAAGTACACGAATCGCCCAGGTACCCCTGCACGGTGAGGGACATGTTGTCTTGGCTCTCAGGCCTGCAGTACACTCCGGTGGCGGACAAACTGCCTGACCACTGCAGGGCGTTGCTCAACCGCAAGTGCGACGATAACGATGTCCCCAACAGGGACGACGCTGTCATGGCACAGTGCATCAACGGCCTGCCCTACACTATCGCAGAAGCGTGTTCGTACGCCAACTCATTGCTCGTAACCATACAGGGCCGCGGTCGCGGCTTTGACCTCGCCGCCTACCCCTACTCCGTCGACTTCGCCAACAACACCGCACAGCTGTACTACCCGGACGACCCCGACGAGCTGCTTGATATGCTGAGACAGATAGTCTGCCGTCTGTGCCCCGTGCTGTATTTCCTCTACGCCCAGTGCTGCCGTGCCACCGCCACAACCAAGGGCTGGCGGGAGTGCCACTACGGTCGGCAGGTGCCGTCCTCCCACTGGCAATGTAACACTCTCGACAAGCAGCCCGATGACGCAACTCACAACTGCCCGCCCACCTCGCCGCTCCAGTCCTTCCTCACCGACAGCTGTCCTAACCTCCTGCCGCATAAGCTTACCGCTACTGACAATGCCATCGAATGTGCCGACTGCCCCGGCAATCAACCAGGCCAGCAGTGCCTCACCCCGCTCGGCTTCTGGGACCTTGGCCTCGCTGCCTCAGTAGAGCGCACCGGCAAGGATCTTGCGAAGTCACTCGGCCGTCTCTGCAGTGACGCCGACGCCTGCCTCTTCCAACTCTGCCGAACGCTGCGCTTGCTGTGCCCCTCAGCACCGCAGTCACTCGGCGACGTGTTCGCGCTGTTCTTCCAAATGCTCAGAATGTGGAACCACGAATCGTCCCGGCGTGCGTACTCTCACCATGAGAGTTACCTAACGCATCTGAGCGATGAGGCCATCGACAAGCTGTTCCCTCTGTGGACACAGCTCCACGGCAGTTACCAGAACAGCAATCTCACCGACGCGCTCAAGGCACTCGCCGGGCACGACCATGACAACTCAGGGCACAATGCCCTCTCATGTCTCTCCGCCGAGCCCCCTTGTCAATCACCCAGTGGATGCGCCCCCTTCCTCCAGCCGCTGGCGCTGCACGCCAACCACACCTTCCCGCAGAAGCACGCACAGCTGTTTGTCTCGTGGATAGTGTGGCTGGCATGGCAGCTGTGGGAGCTGCTGGAGTCCCTGCTGGACGCCTTGAACAACATCGACTGCACGGCCCACGGCTGTGCCACGTGCCTCTGTCAGCCAAGCAACCACAACGACAAGGACTCCTGCCACTGCCCGTCACTCGTCGAATGTGGCGGACCTCTGCCGACACTCTACCGCTACGGATTCACGTATCGCAACGCCCACGCCCTGCTCGCCGGCAGCCAGAAGATACGGTGCAGTGACCTCAACGACCAACTCACCAAGGCACTCCACTCCGACCACTTCACTCAACTGTTCCACCAGATCGACCAACTCCTCTACGGCATCCGCGCCCCCTTCCTCTTCTGCGTTATAGCGCTCTGGCTCACCGCCACGCTCTACATCGCCCACTCATTCCTCTACCGCATGGACGTCCTGCGCATTCGCTCCCACCTACTCACCACCAGGGCCTCCCACCTCATCGACGTCAAGGCGCTGCTCGCCGGAAGCCGCAGGATGCTCTCCCTCTACAAGGACGTCGACTACTTCGACGATGATTTTCACTCATGATTGTAATTATAGTAGCTACACTACATTTCAAATTCTTCTCCCTGTGTTATGTCACGTCTTTCATGGTGACTGTATCTCGTGCCTTGCCCAGCACCTAAGTCACTGCCTAAGCAAGTGGCTCACCTAGCACGTAACCAAGCGGCTCACCTAGCACCTGACCAAAAGGCTGACCAAACACCTATCCTAAGATGTAACCTACTCGCTGCTTTGTCATCTCCCTTCTCCGTTTGTCGCCTTGCCGTCACTCCCTAAACGCCCTCCTTCATCCCTCCTTTCAGTGGATTGAGGCTGCGGACGCCGCCGTTAAGGCGGCTAAGGAGAAGGCGGAAGATGTACATGGAAGGTTGGATCATAATAAAAAAGACCAACACGATGGTACTGTGATTGGCCAAAATATTGAGAAAATTAAGCAAGCTCAACAGCAAGTTAAGAATGTTGATGAACAGCTTCAGGGGATTCACACCGATTTAGGTAACTGGAAATCCGCGGCAAACAGTGTCCTTGGCACAGCGGTTATGAAGGCTGGAGAGGTTCACAAAGCGTTGGATCCTAATACTGGGACAGCGCAGTTGAAGCAACAAATTGACAAGATTGACATCTCTAACTTAGCGATTAAAAAAGCAAATGAGGACCTTAAAAAACAAGTTGAGAGTCTGCGTTCTTGGATCACCACAGCGGAGGATATCCGTGCAAAGGCTGAGACTAAAGCCAAGGAAGCCTATGACAAGTTGGACGTCCACGCTGAATTAAGTAGGAATATTCAGAAAATTGTGGATGCCAATGAGCGAATTAAGAATGTCAATAATAGTCTGAATGGTCTTCATGGGAGTTTGGAAACGTGGAAGGGTCAGGCCAGCACAGTGCTTCAAGGGGCGATTCAAAATGCAGAACATGTGTATGAGAAATTGAATCCTGAGAAAAACGGCGGCGGTACAAATGGTCACGTTGGCAAGAAACTCGGTACGATTGAAGAAAATAACAATGCAATTATACAGGCAAATAAAACTCTTGGCACTGAAGTTGACAACTTAGGTAGGTGGAGGACTGCGGCGGAGAGTGTCATTGACAAGGCGGATCGGAAGTGTGATCAGATACTCAAGAGGGTTGATAAGGATTCGAATGATAGACAAGAGGAAGTTGACATAAAGAAGAATGCTGAAGAACTGAAGAAAAAAGCCACGGCCCTTTTGGATGCTTACAAGACGGCGCATGGGAAAGTTGGCGATTTGGTAAGTCAAGTTGGCGCCGCCGTTCAAGATTTGGAAGTTGGCATGAAAAGCGATTTGGAGAGTATCAGAGATAATATTGTGAAGAGCATGAAGGAGCATGTTGGTGGGATGCTTCAGCAGATTAAGGGGCAACTGACAAGTATTAGAGGGGCGCCGAAGGCAAACGGCAAAAATGGCTCAGGCCTCGAGGGTATTGTCCACGGGCTGGTCGACAGCTATGCTAGTGGGTTCAAAGGGCGATGGGGATTTGAGAAGATAGTAGAGGGGTGGTTAGAAGATATTTTGGGGAAGGATAAGGCGAGGGGGAAGAAAGAGACAGAAGTTGAAAAGTGGCTCAAAAAGTATGTTAATGAGAAAGGAAGAAGGTTTGGTTTCACAATTGCCTCATTCCGTGATAAAATTATCGAACAGATTAAGGTGACGCTAAGAGACAATGAAATCAAGCCAGCCGGTGAATTGGTTGAAAGTAGGATGCAAACAGCCGACACCACAAACAAGGTCACAAAGACCATTGAAGCCGTCAAAGCAGGCTGTGAGGAATTCGTCAAGCAGCTGGATAAGAGATATCAGACTCCAGGAATTAAGCAGCTTGCCCATAATATTTGGCGGGGGACACCCTATACTGGCAACAAAGATCTCCCGCTGGTCATCGAGCCAACCCTCATTGCGCTTCGTGCCACGGCGAATCAGGTTGGGGAGGAGATTAAGTCAATCTTACTCGCCGACTACAGGATGGGGGACAAGATCCCCAAAACCAGCATCGCACAAGAATTGGACAAAGTGGTTAGCGAGACCAGGACGCTAGATGGTGATCTCGACAGTGCAGTAAAAAAAGCGAACGACCAACACGGTGCCAATGGCAGCGGTCTTGCGCAGAAAGTTGAGCAGATTAAGGAGAAGGTTAACAGTGTTATTCCTAAAGATGAGCCGACAATCACTATGAAATTTGGCACACAAATTATGAAAAAATACGCAGAAAAGAGAGATGGAAAGGATCCGGGAAATAAGTATCACGATCTGCTTAACACTCATATCCCCCAGGCGATGGAGCCTTTCACAACGGAGGCTAAACTCAAGGACCCAAAAGAGGTCTCCAGTCAAAAACAAGCCGTCAACTCCGCCCTCGAAAAAATCACCTCCGAACTCCAAGCCATCGCGTGGTTCGTGGATAAAAGCAAGAACAGTAAGCCCGGCGATTACACCGGCACTGATATGGATGGCATCAAGGATCACTTGGCAAATTTGAAAAACGCTCTTGACCAGAAAGGATTTGATGGAGTTGAGAAAGGCCTTGACGCAATCAAATCGGCGATTAGCACTCTGCAAAACGGTAAGTTTGACAGTGAACCGAAAGCAATCGAAGGAGCCGTCAAAGCAATTAGGCAGCAGCTTGGAGAGCTTAGAGGGAAGTTGAAGAAAGATGGTGATAAAAGTGCTGTGATAAACGATTTGGATCATTTCAATAGCAAGGGGCTTGTGAATGGTGACTGGTCAGTCAATGGTAAAACTCTTAGTGGTCTTGGGAAAATCCAGAATCAACTTCACACGGAACTACAAACGTTGTCCAAGCAACCTAATATAATTGACACAGCCATAAGAAAAATTAGGTTGGAACTTTTAAAAATCGGATATAAGCTGGAAAATTTCTTCAACGAAGAAGACGACATCCTGTATGACTTGGAACAACTAAAAACGAATATTGGTCAAGGTAAAAATATTGGTCTTCAACAAATCCATAATGTGATTAGTGAGCTGCAAGGCAGACAGTTTACTGAAAAACCCACTGAAATCGAAAACGCCATGAATCTGGTTAAAAATGAGCTTACCACTCTTAAAGGTGTGTTGCTAGGCTCCGAAGGCAACGATGTCATTTTGACATTGAAAGATTTGCAGAACGCCGGGTTAAGTGAAAATAAAGCTTGGAACCACAAAGGTCATGATGCCAAGGGTTTTAACCATATTAATAGGGAACTTAAAGTTCAGCAAACTACGTTAGCCGAACAGCCCGGTGAAATCGAGCAAGGTGTCAACCAGATTACCAGGGAGCTTGACAAGCTTAGAGATGAGTTGTTGAATGATGTCGAAGAAACATCTAAAAAAGGCGTAATTAACAACTTAAAACATCTGGAAGGGAAAATCGGCCATAATCAGAAGAAGGGCCTTGAAGGTATGAAAGATGCAATTGAGACTCTTAGAACCACAGAAGTCCCCAAGGTCACTGAACACCTTGATAAGCTCTGCGCCGAAATTAGACTGCAAGCAAGGGAAGCCAAATTCTTTTTAAAGGAACTGGAAGAAGTAAGCGTCGATGAGAAACTGAAAGGCATAAAGGATGACATCCACGCCCTGCAACTTCGTGACCTCCAGGAGGCCATGGAGGCGTGCGACCAGTTCCTCAAAGACGCCGACAGAATAGAGAGGAACACAGTGAGAGCCCTTGAACTCTTCGTCGACGATGAGGTGAACAATGCTATCGCCGAACTCACCAAGCAAGCACGCCAATACTACGTGGAGTCCGTGCAGGACGCGCTGAAACACTTCGCCGCCAAGGTGGAGACGGAGCTGGAGGAATTGCCCGGCGAGATAAACAGGGATCTCTTCGTGGGCTTCAAGGGCCTCATGAAATACGTGTACGGACATTTTGACAGCCTCCAAAGCGTCACGGAAGAGAGAGAAATTGCCGTCATATCCTCCGCATTCCACAGCTTCTACGCCCCGGTCAACGAGTATCTCGGCAGTGAGATCCGGAGGGAGCACAGGGAGCGTGAGGGCGACAAAAGTCCCCTGCTCCCCAAGTCCCAGGATCACTACGCTGACAGACTTAGTGCAGTTCACACGGCGCTCAGCGCTCTGCTCACCCACATAACCGGTGCGCAACGCTACGGCCATGAGGTCCGTGGTCTGCTTGACGCGCTTGACAAGGCACTCGCCGGCCTCAGGCCGGAGAGCTTCGCCAGGCCAAGCACGGCTGTGATAGACGGCGTGACGGACGGGCTCAGTGCCTTCGCCGCCGAGCTGAGGAACGCGTACATCAGTGCGTACTCCGGCGCCGCGCTCACCGGTGACTTAGTCAGCAGTGAGACCGTGACTGCGACAGAAACTGCGCAGGGCCGAGAGGCCGTGAGCGAGAGAAGCGTCACCGTGTTGACGCCCTACGGCGAGAATCTGTGTAAGGTCTTGCTCAGCATAGTGCCGATACTTGAGACTTCATTCGCCGTGTTGAAACACAACTGCAAGAGCCTCGCTGGACAGCAACTCAACAAATGTACGGACCTAGGCAGCCTCCTCGGCGAGATGGGCTACAGAGTCCCAGACGACGGCAAGCAGGACGGCGAGTTGGACAGCCACGTGACCGGTAAGGGAATTACCATGCTCCTCGTCGGCGATTTCGAACGTGTCTTCAACTCTGATAAGGACACCAAAAATGCGCTCGGGATTCTTCTCAATCATCTCAACGATTACTACAAGGCGTGCCACTACGCCACACTCTCCTCCACCAGGACGCCGTGCTCAGTCTACGAGATGCTCGTATGGCTGACGGGCCTCCCGCACAACTGTGTCTATGATAAGTTGCGTAAATGCATTAAACTGTGTTACGACGAGCAGACTGAGAATAGCCTGTATCCCGCCACGCTCACCGCCGACGCTTTAGTTGCCGCCGTTGGGAGGCTCACCGCCGACTGTCCCAGCATCCTCACCAGAGTGCTCGGCTACGGCAGTGCTCTGACAACCTACGCCTGCGACTTCTATAGCAACTCCATGAGACTGTATTACCCGCAGGACGGCGAGAACTGTCTGCATCTGCTGCTTCATTACTTATGTCTATTGCTCTCAGTGCTCAGGTTCCTGTTCTCTCAATGCTCACTCCCTGTTCATCACGGCGGCTGGGCGGAGTGCAGGTACGGCAAGGGTGTCCCACCATATATGTGGCAGTGCAGTCCTCCACTCACCGCTCTGCCTACCCCTCACCCGGAGTGCTCCGATAAGTCCCCTCTAATGTCGTACCTAAATGACTGCCTGCCCGGCCATCTGCCTCACCAGCTCAGCAACGTCGGCTGTGAGCCTCGGTGTAACACCTGTCCCAGTGCACCAAGTGGAATGCCCTGCCTGACTCCCCTCGGCTTCCGGGGTTTCTCCGGCAGCACCAAGACGGGCAAGGGGCTGTGCAAAGTGCTGACCAAATTCTTCGCCCATCGTCATCTTTCATCGCTGCTCAGCCTCTGTCCCAGGCCGCCGGCCACCTTGGCTGAGCACATAGGCTTCGCCCTGTCCCTCGTCGGCGACTGGCACGACGGCAAGATTGTTCCTAAGAATTCCCTCCAACAGGCCCTCGAGGCATCCGCCACGGACTTGTCACTTCGCCTCTACAACCAACCCGGTGACCTGACCGCAGCGCTCACCGCCGCCTACGGCTCGGACTCCGCGAAACACGGCGGCTGCAAGCACCCGCACCTGACGCATCTCGCAGGCACTGACGTCTGCACCAGGCACCAATCTTCTCCCTTCCTCCAAGCCCTCTGCCGCGACTCCTACGACAGCCTCGCCCACCGACACTCAGGCCTCTACCTCTCATGGGCCGTCTACCTCCCGTGGACGTTCTATGATCTGTTGCAGTGTCTATACACCGCGTTCAAGGAAATCTCCTGCCGCGACTGGGGCTGCAGTGATTGCCTTCATGAAGGCCCCTGTGACGAGGGAAGCCACGGTATCCTCAACCCGCAGCCACCTGCCTCCGGCTGCCACTGCCGCTCCACAGTCCAGTGCAGGGGCGTCATGCCGACGCTCTACCAGTACGGCCTCGCCTTCAGGGACGCATCGGCGCTGCTATCCCAAGACGCGACGTGCTCCAGCTTCTCCACGCAGCTGAGCAACATCCTCAACTCAGAGCATTTCCGAGACCTCTTCGACAGGTGCGATGAGTTCCTCTGGCACATCCGTGCCCCCTTCCTCCTCACCCTGACAGCGCTCTGGCTCACCGCCACGCTCTACATCGCCCACACGATGCTCTACCGCATCGACGTCCTCCGCATCCGCTCCCACCTCCTCACCGCCAAGGCCTCCCACCAAGTCGACGTCAAGGCCCTACTCGGCAAGGGCCGCAGGATGCTCTCACTCTACAGTGACGTCGACTACTTCGACGACGACTTTCACTCGTGACAGTAATTATCTGAGCTACACTAACATTCACATTCCTCTCTTAGTGTTGTGTTGCCATCTTATGTATTTCATGCTGAGTGTATGTCGTGCCTTGCCTACCACCTAACTCACTACTCAACCTATCGTCTAACCTAGCACTTGACCAAACGGCTGACCTAGCACCTAACCTATGACGTCACCTACTCGCTGCTTTGTCATCTCCCTCCTCCCTCTGTCGCCTTGCCGTCACTCCCCAAACGCCCTCCTTCATCCCTCCTTTCAGTGGATTGAGGCTGCGGACGCCGCCGTTAAGGCGGCTAAGGTGAAGGCGGAACAGGTACATGGGAGGTTGGATCATAGTGATAAAAACAACACGACGATTGACCAAGGAGTTAAGCAAATTAATGAGGCTAAAGGAAAAGTTAGTCAAGTTGATGGTCAGTTGAAAAGTATTCACACCGATTTAGGTAACTGGAAAAATGCGGCAAGCGGTGTGCTTGGCACAGCGGTTATGAAGGCTGGAGAGGTTCACAAAGCGTTGGATCCTAATACTGGGACAGCGCAGTTGAAGCAACAAATTGACAAGATTCACACTTCCAACGAAGCGATTAAAGAAGCAAATGAGGACCTTAAATCACAAGTCGACAGCCTTAGTAATTGGATCTCCACCGCGGAGGAGATCCGCCACAGTGCCGCTGAGAAGGCCACGGAGGCCTACGACAAGTTGCAGGTGCACGAGAAGCTCAGCCGGAATGTTAAGAAGATTGTGGAAGCTAATAAGGCAATTAAAGATCTTCATGAGAAGCTGAGTGATGTTGACAGCCAATTGACCAACTGGAATCAGCAGGCCAGTAAAGTGCTTGCCGGGGCGATTGACAAGGCGACGGATGTATATGAGAATCTCTATCCCGAGAAAAACGGCGGCGGTACAAATGGTCACGTTGGCAAGAAACTCGGTGACATTGAAGATAATAATGCTGCAATTAAGCAGGCGAATGAACAACTTAAAGAACATGTCACCAGTCTGGAGCATTGGAAGACTGCGGCTGAGAAAATCGTCCAAGCTGGGCAAAAGAAGTGTGAGGAGATACTTAAGAAAGTTGATAAAACATCTAATGGAAACAAGAATGTTGACATTCACAAGCAAGCTGACGCATTGCGGAAAAAAGCGGAGAGCCTTTTGGATGCTTACAAGGAGGCGTATCAGAAATTCACGCTGTTGCCTGGTCAAGTTCAAGCAGCCGTTGAAGATTTGGAAAAAGGCATGAAAGATGATTTGCAGACTATCAGAGATAGGATTGTGAGCAAGATGAAAGATCATGTCGGCAGTATGCTTGGTGAAATTAAGCAGAAAGTGGAGAAGATTAAGGGGAAAACAGGAAGCATAGCGAACAGTGGTCAATGGGAAAATAATACTCCGGGCTCCGGCCTTGCAGGCATTTCAACGAAGGTGCAGCATTATTTCAATGCGTTCAGTGAGGAGTGGCCGTTTGGCCAAATAGTCGGCGGTTGGATCGATGACATTCTGCAGCACAACGGTGTGGTCAAAAAGCTGCTTGGCTGGCAGAGTAGGCAGGCGCAGACACTTGAGGAGGAGCTGAAAAACAGTGGTCTCGGAGGTTCAATTAAGGAACCGCTAAAAGAACAAATTAAGGCAGCGGTTGAAGTTTTCAAGAGTAGACAATCCGCTGCCGTCGGCATTAAAGGCAAAATATCACAGGTCAAAGAAGCCTGCAAACTGTTTGCCAAGCGGCTTGATGAGAAGCTGAAGGAGGAATTTCAAAGTGGTGTCCTTGCGATGGTTAGCGAGGCTAAGGAGGCGATGAAGAAAGTTGACGATAAGGAACCGAGCAAACAAAGTCACTTAAAAGGTATCATACAAAAGGCAAAATGCACATGCTCGTATGGAAACTGCAGCAGCGGTAATTGCCTAGAGTGCACAGACCCAAAATGCATCCTTACGCAGGCCGTCGCCACCACACTGCTTGCCGTGTCCTCGGTGGGCCGGCAGGTGGGCAAGGAGCTTCACTCAGTGTTCCTCAGTCCCGAAAATGGAAACATCGCATCCTTCCTGGACGCTGCGAAGGCGGCAACTGACAAGCTGGACGGTGATCTTAAAAACGCAGCAGACACAGCGCTTGGCACAGGAAGCGCATCTCCCAGCCAAGGCCAAGGCCCCAATAACATTCTGCAGAGCGTTCAGGGGATTGAAAGGAAGGTTAAAGAGGGGATGAAGGATAATAGTCGTGATGGCAACATAAACGTTAATGAAGTCATGACATCGTATAAAGAGAAGAAAGATAAAGCAGCAACTAATTCAGATGGCAAATACCAAATGCTTCTTGCAGACATCCCCCAGGCGATGCAGCCTTTCACAACGGAGGCTAAACTCAAGGACCCAAAAGGCGTCGCAGCACAAAAAGGAGAAGTCCAAGAACATCTCTCCACAATCGAAAAGGAACTCCAAGAAATCGCCGAGCGTGTTGACAGCAGCAAGAAAAAGACGCTGCCCCAGCCCACGGACCAAGATGGTATCAAGCAGCGGTTGGAGGATTTGACGCAGATGCTTAAGGAGCAAGAAAGTGTTGATCTTAAAGACAAAGGTTTAATTGTGGAAAGTGTCAAAGGCCTTGATGCAATCAGGCAAGCGATTAACAATCTGCAATCAAATCCGTTCACTAAACAACCCAAAGCAATCGGAGAGGCCGTCGACCAAATTAAGCAGCAGCTTGGACAGCTCAGGAAGCAGTTGAAGAAAGATAAAGATGACTGAGAAAGATGATGTGATAAATGCTTTGAATGACTTAAAAAGCTTTGGTCTTGGAGATAGTGATTGGACATTAGGCAACACAAAATGGAAAACTACGCACAATTTAAAAAGCATTGAGATTGACCTTAGAAATCAAAATGCTATTTTGCCTCAGCAAACAGAAATAATTGGCAAGGCTATAAAAGAAATTCGTGGACAACTTGCATCAATTGGATACAGGTTGAATGATTATGGATCATATGATGACGTCGTTGACCAGTTGCAAAGGTTGGCCAATTACATCGGTAAAGGCAAAAGCACAAATGGATACAGTCTCAATCTTCAAGCAATTTACGAGGCAATTAAACAGCTTCACGACGATCAATTTACTAACCAACCTAACGAAATCAGCAAAGCCAACGAGGCAATCAAAGTGGCACTCAACGAGCAGATGAGCACGCTGGACAACGACGTCATCAAGACGCTGACCAATTTGATAAGCAAGGGGATGAGTGAAGATGCGGATTGGAATGATGATAACAATGCTAAGGGCTTGGAGAATATTGAAAATGGCCTTCACGCTCAACAAAGTGAGTTGCACAAACAGCCCACTGAAATAAAGCAAGGCGTCGACCAAATCACCAGGGAGCTTGAAAAGCTGAGGAGTGAGTTGCAGGGTGAGGAGGACACTGATCCAGTAAAAAGAGGCGTGATAACGAATTTGGAATTCATGATAAAGGAGATTGGGAAAGATAAAAATAAGGGACTTGAAGACGTGAAAATAAAGATTGAAGAGCTTAATAACAAGACAGTCCCGAAGGTGAGTGAGTACGTCAATAAGCTGTGCAACAAGATCACCAATCACGCCGGAAATGCGGGATGGCATCTGAGCCAGCTGGAAGAAAGGCATATAGATGAGAGGCTCAGCAAAATCAAGGACGACATTCACACCCTCCGCACCGATGACCTCCAGGAGGCCATAATGATGTGCGACAAGTTCCTCACCAACGCCGATTACATAGAGAGGAACACTGTGAGGGAGCTTGAGAAATTCGTGGACTACGAGGTGGAAGATGCAATCGCGGAGCTCAGCAAGCAGGCGCGGCGGGACTACGTGGAGTCCGCGAAGGACGCGCTGCAGGCCTTCGCCGCCAGGGTGGCCGGGGAGCTGGAGACTCTGCCCAAGGAGATCTATCACGACCTGACGATAGGCTACAAGGGCTTCATGAGGCAGATGGAGGGTGAGCGCAGCGAAAACATTAATAGGCTAAGGAACGTGCAGAGCAGAATGCTCCGAGCATTGTCCTCCGCGTTCCAGAATTTCTTCGCGCCGCTCCACGAGTATCTCCGCAGGGAGATCCAAAGGGAAAAGAAGGAGCGCGACGACGAAAAGAATCCCTCACTGCCGAAGTCGGAAGAGCCCTACGCCGCCGAGTGGGACGCCGTGCACAGCGATGTCAACGCCCTGCTCAATTACCTCTGCGTGACGCAGGGCTTCGACGACAGGCTGCGAGGCCTGCTCCACAACCTCACCGACGCGCTCACACAGCTGAGGCCGCAGGGCTTCCAGAAGCCCTCCACTCCCACGCTGGACTCCGTGAGCAGGGGACTCAGTGCCTTCGCCGGTGAGTTCGGCGGTGCGTACATCTCCACTTACTCGGGCGCGGAGTGCCGGGAGGCGGACGCCGACAAGTACGCCAAGGTGTTGCTGAGCATCATCCCGATGACGCACAATGCGCTCCAGAATTTGGCTGCCAAATGCGGCACCAACTGGCGAGGCAATAAGATATGCAAGATCACCGGCGACGGCAGGGACAACGGCCTGGGCAACTACCTAACCAAATGCGGCTACACAGTGTCACCCACCGACGGACTCCAGGTGGGGGAATTGCAAAACCACGGCGACATGAACGGTGAGCAAATTCATGCTTTGCTTAACTCCCCAGTTGATGTCAGCGTCAAAATGCTGATCGACGGCAAGCCTGCGGAAAACGGAATTAATGTCGTTGACTTAATTGGTCTTCTTCATAACATGCTTTGTCGCTACCTCCAGGTCTGCCACCTTAAAGTACACGAATCGCCCAGGTACCCCTGCACGGTGAGGGACATGTTGTCTTGGCTCTCAGGCCTGCAGTACACTCCGGTGGCGGACAAACTCCACAACCACTGCAGGGCGTTGCTCAACCGCAAGTGCGACGATAACGATGCCCCCAACAGGGACGACGCTGTCATGGCACAGTGCATAAATGGCCTGCCGTTCACTATCGCAGAAGCGTGTTCACACGCCAACTCGCTGCTTATCACAATACAGGGCCACGGACGCGGCTTCGACCTGGCCGCCTACCCCTACTCCGTCGACTTCGCCAACAACCGCGCTAAGCTGTACTACCCGGCTGACCCCGAAGAGCTGCTTGATATGCTGAGAGAGATAGTATGCCGCCTGTGCCGTGTGCTCTACTTCCTCTACGCCCAATGCTGCCGTGCCACATCCAAAACCAAGGGCTGGCGGGAGTGCCACTACGGTCGGCAGGTGCCGTCCTCCCACTGGCAATGTAACACTCTCGACAAGCAGCCCGATGACGCAACTCACAACTGCCCGCCCACCTCGCCGCTCCAGTCCTTCCTCACCGACAGCTGTCCCAACCTCCTGCCTCATAAGCTCAGCGTTACTGACGGTGCCATCGAATGTGCCGACTGCCCTGCCAACCTACCAGGCCAACAGTGCCTCACCCCGCTCGGCTTCTGGGACCTTGGCCTCGCTGCCTCAGTAGAGCGCACCGGCAGGGAACTTGCGAAGTCTCTTGGTTACCTTTGCAGTGACGCCGACGCCTGCCTCTTCCAACTCTGCCGAACACTGCGCTTGCTGTGCCCCTCAGCACCGCAGTCACTCGGCGACGTGTTCGCGCTGTTCTTCCAAATGCTCAGAGTGTGGGATCACGAATCGTCCCGGCGTGCGTACTCTCACCATGAGAGTTACCTAACGCATCTGAACGGTGAGGCCATCGACAAGCTGTTCCCTCTGTGGACTCAGCTCCACGGCAGTTACCAGAATGCCCATCTCACCAACGCCCTCAAGGCACTCGCCGGGCACGACCATGACAACTCAGGGCACAATGCCCTCTCAAGTCTGTTCGCCGAGCCGCCTTGTCAAGCACCCAGTGGATGCGCCCCCTTCCTCCAGCCGCTGGCGCTGCACTCCCACCACACCTTCCCGCAGAAGCACGCACAGCTGTTTGTCTCGTGGATAGTGTGGCTGGCATGGCAGCTGTGGGAGCTGCTGGAGTCCCTGCTGGACGCCTTGAACAACATCGACTGCACGGCCCACGGCTGTTCCACGTGCCTCTGTCAGCCAGGCAACCACGGCGACAAGGACGCCTGTCACTGTGGATCCCTCGTAGAATGTGGCGGACCCCTGCCGACACTCTACCGCTACGGATTCACATACCGCAACGCCCACGTCCTGCTCGCCGGCAGCCAGAAGATACGGTGCAGTGACCTCAACGACCAACTCACCAAGGCACTCCACTCCGACCACTTCACTCAACTGTTCCACCAGATCGACCAACTCCTCTACACCATCCGAATGCCCTTCCTCTTCGCCATCATCGCGCTCTGGCTCACCGCCACGCTCTACATCCTCCACTCACTCCTCTACCGCATGGACATTTTGTGCATCCGCTCCCACCTCCTGACCACCAAGGCCTCCCACCTCATCGACGTCAAGGCGCTGCTCGCCGGAAGCCGCAGGATGCTCTCACTCTACCACGACGTCGACTACTTCGACGATGACTTTCACTCATGACAGTAATTATCTCAGCTACATTACATTTACATCCTCTCTTTGTGTTGCCATGTCACGTCTCTCATCGTGACTGTATCTCGTGCCTTGCCTAGCACCTAACTCACTGACTAACCAAACGGCTGACCAAATGCCTAACCAAACGGTTCACCTAGCACATAACCTATGATGTAACCTACCACCTAACCTATAATCTACTTGATGCTCTGACTTGCCCTTTGCTTGTCGCCTTGCTCATCCACCTATGCAGCTGACTGCCGTAGTTTCAGGTCTGGCGGTGATCGTGATGAACATGAGGTGGCAGTGATTTGTGATCACATTGATGCAATTCACACTGCAACTAACACTCTTCTCAGACAAGTTAAGGCTTTGGACACTTGGATCACCTCGGCGGAAGAGATCCGTGCTGCGGCAGAGCAAAAGGCCAAAGAAGCCTATGAGAAGTTGGACGTCCACGCTGAATTGAGTAGGAATATTCAGAAAATTGTGGATGCCAATGAGCGAATTAAGAATGTCAATAATAGTCTGAATGGTCTTCATGGCAATTTGGAAATGTGGAATAAGCAGGCCAGTAAAGTGCTTACCAATGCGGCTCAAAAGGCGCAGCAAGTGCATGATAAATTGCAAGAAGATAGGCAGCCTGGTGGTGGTGGTGGTCAAAAAACAGAACTTGGTGGACATATTAAGAAAATTGAAGATGCTAAAACAGAGATTTCAAGCGCTAATCAAACGCTTGCCTCTGAAGTCACAGCTTTGGGGAGTTGGCACACGGCGGCGGAAGAGATTGTTTCCAAGGCGCAGCATAAGTGTGAGGAGATAATGCAGAGAGCTCACAAGGGAAACGGTAATCAAACTGAAATAGAGAAGAATGCTAACATGTTGAAAGAGAAAGCAACGGCCCTTTTGGGCGCTTACAGCCAGGCGTATCCTTTAGTTAACAATTTGACTGAGAAAGTTCAAAATGCCATTGGAGAGTTGGAAACCGGCATGAAACAGGATTTGGAGAATATCAGAAATAATATTGTGAGCAAGATGAAGAGTCATGTTGGGGAGATGCTTAAGGATATTAAGGAGAAAGTGAAGGGGATTAAGGGGGAGGCGGGAAAATATGAGAACAGTAAATGGACAGACCCGGGCTCAGGCCTGGATGGTATTGTCACCGGATTAGTTAACAGCTATGCCAGTGGATTTAGTGGGCAATGGCCATTTGAGGCTATAGTGAATGGATGGTTGCTAAAAATCTTGGGGATGGATGAACACCATGAGAATAAAACGGTGGAAGCGTGGCTTAATAAGTATGCTCTGGATAGGACGAGCCAGAATTTCCTAATTGCCTCATTCCGTAATGCAATCATTAAAGCTATAAAGGAAGAATTTAGATACAAGGATGTTCAAAAGGCCGGTCAAAAGGTTGCAAGTGAGATGAAAACAGCCAGCAGCAAAATTAAAGAGACCGTTCAAGCTGTGAAAAAAGGCTGCGATGAATTTGTCAGTGGACTTGATGAGAAACTTAAGGGCACGGGAATTAAGCAGTTTGCCGAGGAAATTTTGCAGAAGACTATATATATTGACAACAGGCAGCCTGTTTACTTCGTCACCGAACTGGCCCTCATAGCTCTACGCGCCACTGCCAACCAGGTTGCCAACGAGCTTGAATCCGTCTTCCTCGGAGAGTACAGGATGGGAAACAACGGCAAGTGCATCGCAAGCGAACTGGATAAAGTAGTCGATGTTACCCAGAAGCTTCATACTGCACTTACCCAAGCGACCAGCCAATCCACCCTCGGCAATAAAGAAAGCCCCGCCAAAGCCGTGGACAGTAGGTTGGAGGCGGTGAGGAAAATGGTTGAGAAGGATGCGCTTACCAACATATTTACTGGCCAAGTTAAACATGAACTTCAGCAGGCAGTCTCCCAACTTCCCACCGCCGTTAATCAGTTCGACACTGAAGCTCAAGAGCAGATCAAGGAAGCCGCCAAGACGGCGATTGAGAGGGCGGCTGGGCAGATTGAGATGGACGGTGATGGCAAAGTAAAACTTGAGGACAATGGTCAAATGTCCAATTTCAAGAAATCATACGATGCGATTGTCAAGGATCTCCCAACAAAACTTCAAGCACTGGCTGATGAGCACATTGGGGAGGATGATCCGCCGGGTGGTCAAGGTGGTGGAGTTGGTCAAAAATTCAAACTTGCTACAGGAAAATTCGAACATTATGAAAAACATGTTACACAACCTTTAGATTCCTCTAAAACTCTAACCGGCACTGAGCAGGCAAACGAAGGCCAACTTCCACAGGCGATAGGGAAGATTAGAGATGAGGGTCTGGCAGAGCTTGAGAAGCTTATAGGTGACCAACCCGGTCATATTAATACGCAAACCTTCACCGGTCCGTTCAACACAATTGAAAAAGAGCTTGAAGAGATCAAGGAATTGGTTGATGGGGAGACAACTGGTGAACTATTTGAAAGTGGCTCCAAAGGCCTCAAAACGTTTTTAACTGAGCTTAAATATGCGCTTAGAACAGGAAAGTTAGTCGGCACTAAAGAGGGCCTTGACGCAATCAAATCGGCAATTGACAACCTGAAGACAAATACGTATGATAAAAGGAGCAAAGAAATTAACCAAGCCGTCAAAGCAATTAAGACGCAGCTTGGAGTGCTTAGAGGGAAGTTGAAAACTGAAAATGGAGAAAATGATAAAGATGTCATTAAAAGGCTTAATCACATGAAGGAGCAGGGCCTTGGAACACAGGAAGATTGGAGACCGAACGGAACAAAGCGCAATGGCCTCGGGAAAATCCAGAGTGAGCTTAATACTGAAATTGTAAAGTTGCCGCAGGAAACAAAAAAAATCACCGAGGCCGTAAACGCAATAGGCGCTGAGATTATAAGGATAGGATTTCGGTTAAATTCATTTGTGACCTATGATGACGTTGTGGATCAGATGACAAGGTTAGCAAAGCATCTTGGTACATATAAGGGTAAATATGGAAGAAATTACACTGTCAACCTTAAAAGCATTCAGGAGGTAATTAGACTACTGCAAGCGCAAGCGTTTACTCAGAAACCCACAACCATCCATGAAGCCAACGAAGCAATCAAAACAGCACTCAAAGCGCAGATGAACGCGCTGGACGAAGATGTCATGAAGACGCTGAGTGACTTGATGGGCAAGGGGCTTGGCAAAGATGCAAGTTGGCAGGGAACTAAGGGCCTTGAAAATAATAAAAATAACCTTCACACTCAACAAAGTGAGTTGTCCACTCAGCCCACTGCAATCGGCGATGGCGTCGACAAGATCACCACAGAGCTTGAAGAGCTGAGGAAGCAGTTGCAGGGTGAGGATGCCGGTGAGCCAAAAGAAAGAGGCGTGATGAACAATTTGGATTTCATGATAAAGGAGATTGGGAAAGACAAATGTAGTGGACTTGAAGGCATTGAAAAAGCAATTGCAGAGCTCAACAGGGATACAGTCCCTGACATCAACAAATTCCTTGGTGAACTGTGCGCCAAGATTGCGAGCGAAGCCGGTAGTGTGGATTGGAAGTTGGGGCTTTTCAAAGATCATAACATCGACAAAGACCTCGCAAAAATCAAGACACAAATTGACACCCTCCGCATCCGTGACCTCCAGGAGGCCATCGCCATGTGCGACAAGTTCCTCACCAACGCCGATTACATAAAATGGGAGAAAGTAGAAAACATTGAACGCTTCGTAGACAGTGAGATTGAAAAGGCAATCGCGGAGCTCACCAAGCAGGCGCGGCGTGACTACGTGGAGTCCGCGAAGGACGCGCTGAAACACTTTGCCGACAAGGTGGCCGAGGAGCTGGGGGAGCTGCCCGGCGAGATAAACAGGGATCTCTTCGTGGGCTTCAAGGGCTTCATGAGGCAGATGGAGGGTGAGCGCAGCGAAAACATTAATAGGCTAAGGAACGTGCAGAGCAGAATGCTCCGAGCATTGTCCTCCGCGTTCCAGAATTTCTTCGCGCCGCTCCACGAGTATCTCCGTAAGGAGATTGAGAGAGTGAAGAAGGAGCGCGACGACGAAAAGAATCCCTCACTGCCGAAGTCGGAAGAGCCCTACGCCGCCGAGTGGGACGCCGTGCACAGCGATGTCAACGCCCTGCTCAATTACCTCTGCGTGACGCAGGGCTTCGACGACAGGCTGCGAGGCCTGCTCCACAACCTCACCGACGCGCTCACACAGCTGACTCCGCAGTCGTTCCAGCGGCCCTCCACTCCCACGCTGGACTCCGTGAGCAGGGGACTCAGTGCCTTCGCCGGTGAGTTCGGCGGTGCGTACATCTCCACTTACTCGGGCGCGGAGTGCCGGGAGGCGGACGCCGACAAGTACGCCAAGGTGTTGCTTAGCATGATCCCGATGACGCACGAGGCGCTTAGCAACTTGGCAGAGAAATGCGGCACCAACTGGCGAAGCTATAAGATATGCAAGCTCACCGGCGACGACAGGGACAACGGCCTGGGCAACTACCTCACCAAATGCGGCTACACAGTGTCACCCACCGACGGACTCCAGGAGGGGGAGTTGCAAAATCATTTTTCGGGCGGCGCAGTGTATGAATTGCTCAAATCACCAGTTGCGGGTGTGACGACCAAAATACTTATCGGCGTCGAGCCTACAGAAAATTATATTAATGTCGTAGACTTAGTTGGTCTTCTTCATAACATGCTTTGTCGCTACCTCCAGGTCTGCCACCTTAAAGTACACGAATCGCCCAGGTACCCCTGCACGGTGAGGGACATGTTGTCTTGGCTCTCAGGCCTGCAGTACACTCCGGTGGCGGACAAACTGCCTGACCACTGCAGGGCGTTGCTCAACCGCAAGTGCGACGATAACGATGCCCCCAACAGGGACGACGCTGTCATGGCACAGTGCATAAATGGCCTGCCGTTCACTATCGCAGAAGCGTGTTCACACGCCAACTCACTGCTCGTAACCATACAGGGCCATGGCCGCGGCTTCGACCTGGCCGCCTACCCCTACTCCGTCGACTTCGCCAACAACACCGCACAGCTGTACTACCCGGACGACCCCGACGAGGTGCTGGATATGTTGAGGGGCATAGTATGCCGTCTGTGCCCCGTGCTGTATTTCCTCTACGCCCAGTGCTGCCGTGCCACCGCCACAACCAAGGGCTGGCGGGAGTGCCACTACGGTCGGCAGGTGCCGTCCTCCCACTGGCAATGTAACCCATTAAACAAGCAGGCCACCGACGCAAGTCACAACTGCCCGCCCACATCGCCGCTGCAGTCCTTCCTCACCGACAGCTGTCCCAGCCTCCTGCCGCATAAGCTCAGTGTAGTTGACAATGTCATCGAATGTGCCGACTGCCCTGCCAACCTACCAGGCCAACAGTGCCTCACCCCGCTCGGCTTCTGGGACCTTGGCCTCGCTGCCTCAGTAGAGCGCACCGGCAGGGAACTTGCGAAGTCTCTTGGTTACCTCTGCAGTGACGCCGACGCCTGCCTCTTCCAACTCTGCCGAACTCTGTGCTTGCTCTGCCCCGCAGCACCGCAGTCACTCGGCGACGTGTTTGCGCTGTTCTTCCAAATGCTCAGAATGTGGAACCACGAATCGTCCCGGCGTGCGTACTCTCACCATGAGAGTTACCTAACGCATCTGAACGGTGATGCTATAAACAGTCTCTTCCCGCTGTGGCCGCAGCTCCACGGCAGCTACCAGAATGACCATCTCACCGACGCGCTCAAGGCACTCGCCGGCCATGACCATGACAACTCAGGGCACAATGCCCTCTCAAGCCTCTCCGCCGAGCCCCCTTGTCAATCACCCAGTGGATGCGCCCCCTTCCTCCAGCCGCTGGCGCTGCACGCCAACCACACCTTCCCGCAGAAGCACGCACAGCTGTTTGTCTCGTGGATAGTGTGGCTGGCATGGCAGCTGTGGGAGCTGCTGGAGTCCCTGCTAGAAGCCTTGTCCAACATCGACTGCACGGCCCACGGCTGCGCCACGTGCCTCTGTCAGCCAGGCAACCACGGCGACAAGGACTCCTGCCACTGCCCGTCACTCGTCGAATGTGGCGGACCTCTGCCGACACTCTACCGCTACGGATTCACGTATCGCAACGCCCACGCCCTGCTCGCCGGCAGCCAGAAGATACGGTGCAGTGACCTCAACGACCAACTCACCAAGGCACTCCACTCCGACCACTTCACTCAACTGTTCCACCAGATCGACCAACTCCTCTACACCATCCGCCTCCCCTTCCTCCTCACCCTGACAGCGCTCTGGCTCACCGCCCTCGCCTACATCCTCGTCTCACTCCTCTACCGCATCGACGTCCTCCGACTCCGCTCCCACCTCCTGACTACCAACGCCTCCCACCAACTCGACGTCAAGGCCCTGCTGTCCCGAAGCCGCAGGATGCTCTCACTCTACACTGACGTCGACTACTTCGACGACGACTTTCACTCGTGACAGTAATTATCTGAGCTACATTCACATTTACTTTCCTCGTGTTGCCATGTCTCATCACGTCTCTCATCGTGACTGTACACCGTGCCTTGCCTAGCACCTAAGTCACTGACTAACCTGATGTCCAACCTAAAACCTAACCCATAATTTAGTAGACGCGTTGGAATATTCGTTGCTTCACGCGCCACTCGTGAACGTTTCCACACCGTTGCCTAATGTCAAAGCACCGTGAAAATGATGGCTGCTGGACCATCACCGCTGTGCCGGGCGAGTGTCTCACACGTCCGTTACCATGTGCGTTCGCAGGCAGTGAAGTCGTTGTGACGGCCATTGTACAGCCTAGTCAAGCGGCATCTATGACCACATTGTGGCGGCCGGTAATACAGTAGTCACTGCCCTCATAGCTGCACTCATCGTTTGCCTCGTCACCTATCTCCTCAAATGGCGAACATTAATACGCTGCGTGATTACATCAATTAGCATTGGATATTGATTGAATTACTATTCCTTACAACATGGTTTCATACAATTCTAATATTGCACTGATTACGTGGCGTCATTGTACCCGCATCCTTCATCTCCATACCATCCCTTTACTCCCCGACTCCACAAATACCGCACAGCTTTCTCTCCGCAGCTGTCCGGCCACCTCCACGACACGACACCAGCAGCATCATTCAGTCCACTTAGCCATCCAGTAGCAAACTCACATTCGACGTAGAAGTACTACCGGCGTCACCTTCAATTTCAAGGTTTAGGTTTAGGTTATGCTTAACGGCAGCCACACCAAACTTGCCACCTAACCAAACGTCTTACCTAACAGGTAACCTATCACCTAACCTATGACGTCACCTAGTCGCTGCTTTGTCATCTCCTTTTTCCATTATTCACCATGCCCTCAGTCCCCAAACGCCCTCCTTCATCCCTCCTTTCAGTGGATTAAGGAGGCGGACGAAGCCGTTAAGGCGGCTAAGGTGAAGGCGGAAAACGTACATGGGAGGTTGGATCATAGTGATAATAATGGTGTTCCAAAGACTCCGATTGGTCAAGGAGTTAAGCAGATTAATGAGGCTAAAGGAAAAGTTAGTCAAGTTGATGGTCAGTTGAAAAGTATTCACAGTGATTTAGGTAAGTGGAAAGATGCGGCAAGCGGTGTGCTTGGCACAGCGGTTGGAAAGGCTCAGACAGTGCATGGCAAGTTGGATCCTGATAAAAGTAAGTCGACGCTTGGTGGTAAAATCGGAGAAATTGAAGACGCAAAAAACAACATTATTAGCGCAAATTCGCAACTTAAATCACAAGTCGACAGCCTTAGTAATTGGATCTCCACCGCGGAGGAGATCCGCCAAAAGGCCCAGCAGAAAGCGGAAGAGGCTTATAGTAAGTTGGACGTTCACGCCGAATTGAGTAAGAAAATTGGAGATATAGTGACTGCGAATAAGAAAATTAACGAAGTTCATAAAAATTTTGGTGGACATCTTGGGAGTTTGAATAGTTGGAAGCAGCAGGCCAGGACAGTGCTTGACGGGGCGATTGACAGGGCCAATGAGGTGTATGAGAAGTTGGATGTTGAACAAACAGGTAAAGGAGATTTGAAGACACAGATTGAGCGAATTACGTCCAATAATCAAGCAATTCAGAATGCAAATAAAACTCTTGGCGAAAATGTCAAGAATCTTGGGAGTTGGAACTCTGCCGCCCAGGGTGTCATTGGCAAGGCGGAGGTGAAGTGTGATGAAATCTTGGAGAAAGTTAGTACCACAAATCCTAAAGGTAAGATTTTTGAGAATGCTGAAAAGTTACGAGATGAGGGTAAAAAACTTTTGGAGGCTGCGAAAGCGGCCAAGGATGCTGTTGAGAATAATGTTACTGCGGCGCTGAAGGCCGTTGTGGCCATGGACACAAGTCTTAAGATGGATTTGAAGAAAGTTAAAGATAAGATTAAGGAAGGGATACATAGCGTGATTGAGCAGTTGCAGGTTACTAAGTTGGATGGTTTGGTGAAGATTGATTTGGGGACGTTGAAGAGTAGGATTGAGAACCTTTCCTCAACAGTGGAGAGTAGTGATGCAGTTACCGGTAATGGGTTTGTTGGTAAGCAATTGCAGGACCTTGAAAACCACAGGAAAGGCAATCTGGATACTGTTGTTACAAATATTCAAGAGCAGACAAATGTTGAGCTTCAGAAAAATTTTGATCAGCATATCCAAAGTCCGCTTAACGATAAAGTCCAAGAAGTTGACTCGGCGATTGGGACGCTTGGCGGGAAGTTTGTTACTAACGGCAACGATGAGGAAAAGAAGTGCCTTCAAAAGATCTTTGAAGAGATTCACAAAAAAGTTAAGGAGATTAAGGGGAGTGCTGGAAGTAAAAGAAGTGGTCAATGGAAAAATAACTCAGGCCTCGACGGTGTTGCTGAGAGAGTGAAGGATCTTGCTGAGGCGTTTGTTCAGAAGGGAAGTAATAGTTTTAAGGCGAGAGTGGAAGGATGGCTTGAGGGCATTTTGGGCATGGGTTGGAATAACAAAGGTAAGGGCATGAAAGCCGTGACGTCCTGGCTTGAGCAGTATCAGAATGCGGCTAAGAGGAGAGGGCATAATGAACAAGCACTGAAAGAACAAGTTAAGAATAAGATCATGAATGAGCTTAACAGCCAAATTGGTGCAGCGCAAGGGAAGATTGGTGCAGTGAAAGAGGGCATTAAAGAAAATCTCAGTGCCATCGTAAGCGCTTGCGAGACGTTCGTCGAGAAACTTGATGAAAAGATTAAGAAGGATGCAATTGATCACCTTGTTCAGCAGATAGTTCCGAACATTCAGCGTTGGATGCAGGGGCAGAGCGTTCGGAATTTTAATGAAGACGCTGATCTCAAGTGTGCCATACGCTACACCCTCCTTGCGCTCTGCGCCGGCGTCAAGCAGGTAGCCACCGAGATAAATTCATTAGGTATCGGCAAGTTCGGTGAAATCTTGGACAATATAAAGCCGACTGTAGATAAGTTAGATGAGGCACTTAAGGCGGTGACTAAACCCAAGCAACCCGGACCATCTCCACCCGGCAATAAAGAAAGCCCCGCCCAAGCCGTGGACAGTAGGTTGGAGGAAGTGAGGAATGAAGTTAGTACAGAAATTGAAAGGAAGTTTAGAGATGAAGTCACAAGAGATCTTAAAAGTGCAGTTGGTGGCCTTGAAGAAGCAGTTAACCAGTTCGACGGTGTAGCTCAAGAGCAGATCAGGGCTGCCGCCACGACGGCCATCACCAAGGCGGCTGGGGAGATTAGTAAGGATGGCGTTATAACACTCGGCGGTACAAATAAACTGATGCAAACGTTTAAGGATGCTTACGATCCCATTAAAAATAATCTCCACAGTGACCTCAAGAAGCAAGTTGACCTCCACATTGGGGAGGATGATCCGCCAGCCCCGGCAGGTGGTCAGGGTGGTAAAGCAGGTAAAGTGAAAATTGATAAAAATAATTTTCTTAATTATGATTCTCACGTTGATCAAAAAAGCCTTGAGAAAGTGGACATCAGTAAAACAGATACCCTAGAAAGCCTACAAGGCCAACTCCCCGGTGAGATCAGCAGCATTAGCACTGTGGGTCTGAAAAGCCTCACTGAACTCATCGGTCAACCAGGCGGCAAAGCAGCAGAAATTACTAAAGATACTTTTGATAAGCCGTTCACCCAACTTAAGACACAGCTTGAAGCGATCAAGAAATTGGTTGATGGTGAACGCTCCGGCAGTTCATTTATGGAAGGAGACCCGAATGAAGGCATCAAGGACTTTTTACGTAATTTAACAAGTATGCTTGGAAGCAGCGTTTTTGTTGACGGTAATAAAGGTTTACATGAAATCACAAAGGCAATTAACAATCTGAAAACAGGGACGTATGATCCCAAGAGCAGTGAAATTGAGGGAGCCGTCAAGGGCATTAAAGGGGAGCTTGAAAGGCTCAGGGAGAAGTTGAAGAATGATGCAAATGGAGGGCAAGACAACGATGTGATTGACGACCTAAGTGACTTGAGAGACAACGGGCTTGGTGAAGAGCCAGGCAATTGGACAACCAAAAGTGGAAGTAAACTCGACGGTCTCGGGAGCATTACTAAGGAGCTTCAGACGCAGAATGAGAAGCTGCCGGGGGAGACGGAAATTATCGATAAGGCTCTAATAGAAATTAGGTGGGAACTTGCGAAAGTTAGAATTGGATTGGATAATTTCTTTCATGATAAAGACATTCTAGGCTATATGGAAGAGTTGCAGAAGAAGATTGGCAAGGACCCTCAAAAGCAGGACGATGACAGTCTCACAAAAATCCAAAGTGTGATCAGTGGCCTGCAAAGCGGAGCGTTCAGTGAACACCCGAATAAAATGGGCGAAGCCAAGGACGAAATTGTAAGTGAACTCAAGAGGCTGCAAACAGAGTTGCAAGGCAGTAAAGGGGATGACGTGATTACCACACTGGAAGATCTGAGGGACACAGGGCTGAGTGGAGAGGACACATGGAACGTTGACAATAGGAATGAAAAAGGCCTCGCAAAAATTCATACTGACCTTAGCACTGAACAAAGCACGCTGAATCAGCAACCACAAAAAATACAAGGTGGCGTCACCCAAATCACCACGGAGCTTGACGACCTAAGGAATGAGTTGCAGGGTAAGGATGTCGGTGAGCCAGATAAAAGAGGCGTGATAAGGAATATGGACGACGTGATTGAGAAGATTGGGAAAGATGAAAGTAAAGGACTAAATAAAATCACCAAGGACATTGACAGCCTCAACAGGGAGACAGTCCCTCTGGTCAACAAGCATCTGGGGGACCTGTGCGCCAGGATCACAAGCGAAGCCGGCAGTGTCGACTGGCAGTTGAAGCTGTTCAAAGAGGATAACATCGACAAGGGATTGAGTAACATAAAGGAGCAATTTAACGCGCTTAACATCCGTGACCTCCAGGAGGCCATCGCCATGTGCGCTGACTTCCTCACCAACGCCGATTACATAAAATGGGAGAAAGTAGAAAACATTGAACGCTTCGTAGACAGTGAGATTGAAAAGGCAATCGCGGAGCTCAGCAAGCAGGCGCGGCGTGACTACGTGGAGTCCGCCAGGGACGCGCTGAAACACTTCGCCTTAAAGGCGGAGAGTGAGCTGGGGGAGCTGCCTGAGGAGATAAACAGGGATCTCTTCATGGGCTACAAGGGCTTCATGAAATACGTGTACGGACAGATCGACAGCCTCGAAAGCGTGAGGGAAGAGAAGGAAATTGCCGTCATATCCTCCGCATTCCACAGCTTCTACGCCCCGGTCAACGAGTACGTCAGCAGTGAGATCCGGAGGGAGCACAGGGAGCGTGAGGGCGAAAAAAATCCCCTGCTCCCCAAGTCCCAGGATCACTACGCTGACAGACTTAGTGCAGTTCACACGGCGCTCAGCGCTCTGCTCACCCACATAACCGGTGCGCAACGCTACGGCCATGAGGTCCGTGGTCTGCTTGACGCGCTTGACAAGGCACTCGCCGGCCTCAGGCCGGAGTGCTTCGCCAGGCCAAGCACGGCTGTGATAGACGGCGTGACGGACGGGCTCAGTGCCTTCGCCGCCGAGCTGAGGAACGCGTACATCAGTGCGTACTCCGGCGCCGCGCTCACCGGTGACTTAGTCAGCAGTGAGGCCGTGAGCGAGAGAAGCGTCACCGTGTTGACGCCCTACGGCGAGAAGCTCTCTAAGGTCTTCCTCAGCGTGGCGCCGATACTCGGCACTTCACTCGCCGAGTTGAGGCTCAACTGCAGGAGCCTCGCCGGACAGCATCTCAACAGATCTACGGACCTCGGCAGACTCCTCGGCGAGATGGGCTACAGAGTCCCAGACGACGGCGAGCAGGACGGCGAGTTGGACAGCCACGTGACCGGTAGAGGAATTACCATGCTCCTTGTCGGCGATTATAAGCGTGTCTTCAACTCTGATAAGGACACCAAGAATGCGCTCGGAATTCTTCTCGAATGTCTCAACGATTATTACAAGGCGTGTCACTACGCCACACTCTCCTCCACCAGGACGCCGTGCTCAGTCTACGAGATGCTCGTATGGCTGACGGGCCTTAAGTACAACTGTGTCTATGATAAGTTGCGTAGATGCATTAAACTGTGTTACAGCGAGCAGACTGAGAATAGCCTCTATCCCGCCACTTTCCCTGCCGACGCTTTGGTGGACGCCGTTGACACGCTCACCTCTCACTCTCCCAGCATCCTCACCAGAGTGCTCGGCTACGGCAGTGCTCTGACAACCTACGCCTGCGACTTCCATAGCAACTCCATGAGACTGTATTACCCGCAGGACGGCGAGGAATGCCTGCACATGATGCTTCATTGTGTACGTTTATTGCTCTCAGTGCTCAGGTTCCTGTCAAGTCAATGCTCACTCCCTGTTCATCACGGCGGCTGGGCGGAGTGCAGGTACGGCAAGGGTGTCCCACCATACACATGGCAGTGCGCTCCTCCTGTTACTGCTATGCCTACCCCTCACCCGGAGTGCACAGATAAGTCCCCTCTAATGTCGTACCTCAACGACTGCCTGCCCGGCCACCTGCCTCATCAGGTCAGCGCCATCGGATGTGAGCCTCAATGCAACACGTGTCCCAGTGGACCAAGTGGAATGCCCTGCCTCACGCCGCTCGGCTTCCGGGGTTTCTCCGGCAGCACCAAGACGGGCAAGGGGCTGTGCAAAGTGCTGACCAAATTGTTCACCAACGCCCATCTCTCATCGCTGCTCAGCCTCTGTCCCAGGCCGCCGGCCACCTTGGCTGAGCACATAGGCTTCGCCCTGTCACTCGTCAACGACTGGCACGACGGCAGTATTGTCTCCAAGAACGGCCTCCAGAAGGCACTCGAGGCGTCCGCCTCTGCCCTCTCACTCCGCCTGTACAAGCATCCTCACCAGCTGACCATGGCACTCACCGCCGCCTACGGCTCGGACTCCGCGAAACACGGCGGCTGCAAGCACCCGCACCTGACGCACCTCGCAGGCACTGACGTCTGCACCAGGCACCAAGCTTCGCCCTTCCTTCAATCTCTCTGCCGCGACTCCTACGACAGCCTCGCCCACCGACACTCAGGCCTCTACCTCTCATGGGCCGTCTACCTCCCGTGGACACTGTATGATTTGTTGCTGTGCCTGTACACCGCTTTCTGCAACATCTCCTGCCGCGACTGGGGCTGCAGTGATTGCCTTCATGAAGGCCCCTGTGACGAGGGAAGCCACGGTATCCTCAACCCGCAGCCACCAGAGCACGGCTGCCACTGCCGCTCCACAGTCCAGTGCAGGGGCGTCATGCCGACGCTCTACCAGTACGGCCTCGCCTTCAGGGACGCATCGGCGCTGCTATCCCAAGACGCGACGTGCTCCAGCTTCTCCACGCAGCTGAGCAACATCCTCAACTCAGAGCATTTCCGAGACCTCTTCGACAGGTGCGATGAGTTCCTCTTCCACATCCGCCTACCCTTCCTCCTCACCCTGGCAGCGCTCTGGCTCACCGCCCTCGCCTACATCCTCGTCTCACTCCTCTACCGCATGGACGTCTTGCGCATCCGCTCCCACCTTCTCACCACCAGGGCCTCCCACCTCATCGACGTCAAGGCGCTGCTCGCCGGAAGCCGCAGGATGCTCTCACTCTACAAGGAAGTAGATTACTTCGACGATGACCTTAACTCATGACAGTAATTGTTGCAGCTACATTTACATTCACATCTCTCTCTTTGTGTTGCCATGTCATGTCTTTCATGGTGACTGTACCCCGTGCCTTGCCTACCACCTAACTCACTGCTTAGCCAAAAGTCTGACCTATGATGTAACCTAAAACCTAACCCATAATTTAGTGGATGCGTTGTCATGTTCGTTGCTTAGGACGTTGTTTCACACGTCTCTCGTTTACGTGTCCACGCCGTTGCCTAATGTCAAAGCACCGTGAAGATGATGGCTGCTGGACCATCACTGCTGTGCTAGGTCAGTGTCTCACGTCAGTCATGATGTGCGTTGCCAGGCAGTGGACGTCGTTGTGACGGCCATTGTACAGCCCAGTTAAGCGGCATTTAGTTACCACATTGTTGCTGTCGGTAATACAGTAGTCACTGCTTTCACAGCTACCCTCATCATTTGCCTCGTCACCTATCTCCTCAAATGGCGAACATTAACACACTGCGTGATTACTTCAGCCAACATTCAATATCAATTGAATTGTTATTCCTTACAAAATGCTTACATACAATTGTGATATTGCTGTAATTACGTGGCGTCAGTGTAGTCGCATCCTTCATCTCCATATCATGCTCTTACACCCCGACTCCAGAAATACTGCTCAGGTTGTTACCCAGAGTTGGCCGACCACCTCCACAACATGACACCAGTGGCATCATCTTGTCCACTTAGCCATCCAGTAGCCATGTCACATCCTATGTTAAAACATTAGCTGCCTTCACTTTCATGGCTAAGGTGTAGGGCATTGCCGTGTAAATGAATTTTCGACATTTGTTTTACCATCGTCCCCCTCTGAACCTCGTCCGTCCACAACCCACATCTGGTTCCTGTAAACATTAAAAGCAAAAAGCCTAAAAGCCAACAGCAACTCTAACTTCATCTCACCTGTACACAGTGCAGTTTACATCCAATTTCAGCGTCTTGAGCAGTTGTTACGTCACGCTTCTCATTATGTCGGTTATCACCCATCTTCATGTGTGACACCGTTTTCACATCCCGCAAATGACAACTACGCCACGCCCAACTGGCTTGTAATATGCTATCTGACACTGATCATTGGTAAATCATCATTTGGCGTCCATAATTTCATTGGCACCCCTCTAAATGCATCAACATCCAATACATGCTCCCTGTTTTTACTTTCAATATCCTCGTAAAATACGCGGCACACTCAAAGCACCAACAAAAAGGACTGACAAAGCCAATAACACCCTCCTTGAACAACTTAAAGGTCTGAATAAATGGACTATCCAAGCGGAAGATATCCGTCAGGCTGCCGAGGACAAGGCCAAGGAAGCCTACGACAAGTTGAAGGTTAATGAGAAGCTGGATGAGAATGTTCAGAAAATTGTTAAAGCCAATGAGGCAATTAAAGATGTTCATGAGAAGCTTGGTGGTCATCTTAGTAGTTTGGGAGCGTGGAATGCGGAGGCCAGTAAAGTGCTTGCCGGGGCGATTGAAAAGGCAACGGAAGTTCATGATGCGTTGGATGTATACAATTCAGGTAAAGGGCAGTTGAAGACACAAATTGGTAATATTGAAACATATAATAAGGCAATTAAAGAGGCAAATGAACAACTTGAGAAAGAAGTTCAGAATTTAGGCAAGTGGAACACCGCCGCCAAGGATGTTATTGGCAAGGCGGATGGGAAGTGTAATACAATTTTGGATAAAGTTAAGACAGAAGACAGCGCTGGAAAAGATACAATTTTTGAGCAAGCTGAATTGTTACATGAGAAAGGAAAAGAGCTTTTGGACTCTGCCATTAAGGCCAAGGATGCTGTTGAGTCCAAAGTCACCAAGGCCCTTGAGGCTGTTGTGGAGATGGACACATCCCTCAAGAAGGATTTGAAGAAAGTTAAGGAGGGGATTAAGATAGGAATAGACCATGTGATTAAGACGTTGCAAGTTAATGAGTTGGATGAGAAAGTGAAGAATGATTTGGAGAGTTTAAGGGGAAAGATTGAGGGGCTTGGCAAGGATGTGGAGAGTAATGGTCTTGTTAAAGCTCAGTTGGAAAAACTTGCGGAAGAGAAGAAAAATCTTGAAACAGTAACTGGCAAGACAACTGGCACAATTGATAAGGAAATGGGTCAACTTGAAAGTAAGTTTAATACTTACATCAAGACTCCGCTTAACCTTCAAGTCACTGAAGTTGACACGGCGATTGGGACGCTTGGCGGGAAGTTTGAGTTGAGTGGCGGAAGTGAAAAGAAACTTGAAGAGATTTTTAAACAGATTAAAGGAAAGCTTGGGGAGATTAAGGGGGAGGCAGGAATGTTTGCTCCAAATGGTACATGGGAAAGTAATAATATGGGCTCAGGCCTGGATGGTATTAAGAGTAAGGTGCATAATTATGCGCAGGCCTTTAGTGGAGATAGATTCGCGGATATCGTGAAGGGCTGGCTGGAAGCCACAATCTTGAGGTACAACGGCACCGTGCGGAGGATACTCAATATGAAGCAGGAGTTTGATGAGACGAGGAAGGACGGTAATATCGAGGACTTCGCAATTGGAATGAAAGAGAAGCTTAAAACAGATGTTATTGGTATAGCCACAGACGCTTTCCAAAATGTTAATATCGTCAGCGGCAGCATTACTGAAAATATAAAAGCTGTCCAACAGCTTTGCAATGGGCTCGCCAACGCGCTTGATGAAGAACTGTATAGTGGCACAAAACAAACAGTCAAGCGTGTAAAGGATGTCGCGCTGCAGAAGGGGCAACTCGTCGCTAAGATTCAAAGCTGCATCTGCGAGTGCGATAATTGCAACAAGCAGGATTGTGGCAAAAAGGCCGCCGCTGAATTGATCCTCTGCGCGCTCACCTCTACAGCCCGGCAGGTTGGCAACGAACTGAATTCAGTGTTCCTCAGTCCCGACGGTGCCAACATCGCATCCATCCTGGACAAGATCACTCCGATTGCTAAGGAACTTGATGACAAGCTTCACAATTCCCTTCCTCCCCCCGGCCAAAAGGAAAGCCCCGCCAAAGCCGTGGACAGTAAGTTGGAGGCGGTGAGGAATATGGTAGAGAAAGACAAACTTATTACCACGTTTAAAAGTGAAGTCACAAAAGAACTTACAGAAGCGGTTAAAGGTCTTCCCAACGCCGTTGAGACTTTCAACTCCACCGCCGAAGAGCAGATCAAGGCCGCGGCCAGAACGGCGATCACCAAGGCGGCGGAGCAGATTAGTAAGAATGGTGCTGCAATTGTGCTTGGTGATAATCTCATGAACGAATTCCACACTACCCACGAACAAATTACAAAAAATCTCGAAGACACTCTCAAGCAGCGAGTTGACGACCACATCGGGGATGATCAGCCAGGTGGTCAAGGTGTTCAACCAAAGAAATTCATACTTGTTAAACAACATTTTGGCAGTTATGATTCTCACGTCAAGCAAGATAAGATTAAAGCCCTTAATGGCAGTGGAACTCTACAAGGCACTTCAGATGAAGGCCACCTCCCCAAGGCCATCGGGGACATCAGGACTCTGGGACTGGAGGCGCTTGAAGAGACTATTGGTGTGACGGCCAAGGAGCCAGATAAAATTGACGATAATACATTCACCACTCCGGCCTGGCTAATTACCCAAGAACTCGAAGGAATTGCCCAATTGGTTAACACTAAGAATTCTTCGCTGGGCCAACAGCAGGGTGATGAAGGTATCCAGCAGCACTTGCAAAAATTGAAAGAAGCTCTTGACCAGAAAGGATTTAATGACGCCGATAATCAAGGCCTCGAAGCAATCGAGACGGCGATTAACACTCTGCAAACAGAGACGTATGGTCCCAAGAGCAGTGCAATTGAGGGAGCCGTCGACCAAATTAGGGGGGAGCTTAAGAAGCTCAGGGAGAAGTTGAAGAAAGAGCAAAATGGTGGGACAAAAGATGGTGTTATTGACGTGTTGGATGATTTGAAGACTGCCGGTGTCGAAGGTAAAAATGGTTGGAAAGGCACTCAGGGTCTGACGAAAATCCAGCAGGGAATTCAGGAGCAGAATACTGAATTGGGCAAACAGCCTGAAATAATCACTAACGCCATCAGCGCAATCAGGGATCAACTGTTTCAGTTAGGAATAAAGTTGAATAAGCCCTTCGACTACGATGACGTTTTGGACAAATTGATTCAGTTGCAAAGGAAGCTTGGCACAGCGGACGCCCAAAATTATGGTGTCAATCTAAAGAAAATCTACGATGAAATTCATTGGCAACAAATCAGTACATTCACCCACAAACCCTACGAAATTCAGGCAGCCAACTCAGCAATCAAAGCGGAACTCAAAGCGCAGATGAGCACGCTGGACAACGACGTCATTACAACATTGAACGACTTGATGACCAATGGGCTGAGTAATCAGGCAAGTTGGAAGCCTAGTGGACAGGAAGCAGCAAAGGGCTTTGACCATATTATTAGTGAGCTCAACACTCAACAAAGTACGCTGGAACAACAACCCACTGCAATCGGCAGTGGCGTTACCCAAATCACCAATGAGATTGACGAGCTGAGGAGTGAGTTGCAGGGTAAGGATGACACTGAGCCAAAAGAAAAAGGTGTCATTAATAACTTAAAACATCTGGAAGAGAAAATTGGAGAAGGCAAAAATGAAGGTCTTGAAAAAATTAAGAAAGACATTGAAGAGCTCAATAGGGACACAGTCCCCAAGGTCAACGAACATCTCGGTGAACTGTGCGCCAAGATTGCGAGCGAAGCCGGCAGTGTCGACTGGCAGTTGGGGCTTTTCAAAGAAAATAACATCGACAAAGACCTCGCAAAAATCAAGACACAAATTGACACCCTCCGCACCGGTGACCTCCACAAGGCCATCGAGGCGTGCGACAAGTTCCTCACCAACGCCGATTACATAAAATGGGAGAAAGTAGAAAACATTGAACGCTTCGTAGACAGTGAGATTGAAAAGGCAATCGCGGAGCTCACCAAGCAGGCCCGCCGGGACTACGTGGCGTCCGCGAAGGACGCCCTGAAACACTTCGCCGCCAGGGTGGCCGACGCGCTGCAGGGGCTGCCGGAGGAGATCGCCGCCGACTTGGCGATAGGGTACAAGGGCTTTATGGCCAAGATGCAAGATGACTTTGTCAAGAACATTCAAGAAAATGACTTCACGCAAGACAGTCCCCCGCTCACCCAGGTGGCGGAGCGACTCGGCGACGCCGCACGTGCCTTCTTCCCCCAACTGCTCAGGCAGGCGGACATGTTCAGGGGGATATTCCCCAGAGCCCTGATGACCGACGAGCAGATTCGGCAGTTGGAGGCGGCGAAGCGACGCAACGACCACGACGCAATTGCCAGGATCTACAAGGCGCTTCCACAAGGGGAGTGCGAGGAGACGTCCGCCGACAAGTTCCCTCCCAACCTGGCCGCAGTGACGGCGCTGATGGAGTCCTTCGACGCCCTGGTGCAGCACATCGAGGCGGTCGGACACTTCGACCACGCGGTTATGGGACAGCTGTGTGCCCTGCAGCGGCAACTGGACGCGTTCCACCCGGAGCCCTACGGCGAGGCGGGCAATCTGTTCCTGCTGCTGGCAGTCAAGAAGGGACTCATAGCGTTCCCCCAGGAACTCAAGAAGGCCTACGTCTCCAGGTACTCCGGCCAGGCGCCGGTGGAGGCCGACGCCGACCGCTACGCCAAGGTCTTCCTCACCGTAGTGCCCATCATGTTCGACACCCTCACTCAGCTGCGGCGGAACTGCAGGACCGGCGGCAGGTGGAGGGATTACAAGATTAACATGACCAATCAACTCGGCCAGTTCCTCCACCGCTGCGGCTACAGCGTCTCCTCCCCCGCCGACCAGGACGGCGAGCTTAGGAGAGACGATGAGTGCCACGGCGCTCACGTCCACAACCACCTGGGCGACGGCACCTATTACCTCGTCAGGGAGGAGGACGAGGCCGAGAAAAGGAACGACCACCACAGCCTCCTCAGGAGGCTCACCGACCACCTCCACCACTACTACCGTTGCTGCCACCTCAAGACGCATCCCGCACCCCGGCCGCCGTGCTCAGTGTACGAGATGCTCACTTGGGTATGCGGCCTCAAGCACAACCCAGTGTACCAGGCACTCACGGCTGAAGCGCTGCCCTCCCTGTTCCAGACAGACGACATGCCTCCAGCCGGGGACTCACTGCTGCCCGTCACTGAGCTCGGCGCCCTGGCGCTGCCCGCCCACCCGCAGCACATCACTCTCACTTCCCTCACCGACGCACTCACGGAGGTCTGCCACAAGGCGCATTCAGTGCTCACCACGTTACTCGGCTTCGGCCATGCTAAAGGCATCTACGCCGTCGACTTCAACACCAACCCCGGAGGCCTGCTGTATCCCCGTGACACGGACACATTGCTCTGCCTGCTCTTCGACGTCATCAAACGCCTCCACCACCAGCTGTATTTCCTCTACCGCCGATGCCTCTACAACGCCCGGCACGGCGGATGGCTCGACTGCTGGTACGGCCGGGGCGTCGGTGGCTCAGCGTGGAGGTGCAACACCATGCAGTGTGCCAACCAAATGTGTGACCAACAGTGCAACCAAATATGTAACCAAATATGTAACCAAACGTGTGACCAACACCCCAAGTGCGGCGTCAAGTCGCCGCTCCAGTCGTTCCTAGAGGACGGCCTGGTGGGCTTCCTGCCTCACGCTGTTACACCCAAGGACACCTGTGTCAAGTGCTCCGCCTGTGACACCAAGTCACCCGGCCTGCCCTGCAAGACGCCCATGGGCTTCGCCCACATCACCCGCCTGGCCTCCCGTGCCTCCACAGGCCGACGCCTCATGGACGCCCTCGGCAAATTCTGCGGCGGCGCTTCGGCGCCCCTCACCAGGCTATGCGCCCAACTCAACTGCCTCCTCACCCGGCCACCGAGGACGCCAGCCGATCTCTTCGCCTTCCTTTTCAACCTCCCACGTGACTGGCCTAGCAGCACCGAGCACCGTAAGGCGGTCTTCGAGGAGGCTGTCGCCTCTGCCTGCTTCCGGCGGCGGGGCGTCTCACTGGACGTCACTCAACTCTTCCGCACCAGCCAACACGGCACCGACCAGAATATGCCTCACCTCACCGGCGACCTCTTCGCCCTCGTCAGCTGCAACGCCACTCCACGCTCCACCGCCGCCCACCCCTGCGGACCCTTCCTCAAGCCCATATGCCACGACGTCCGCGCCACCTTCGCCAGGGAATACGCTCACCTCTACCTATCCTGGGTGGTCTACCTCACGGAGACATTCTACGACCTGCTTAAGCAACTGCTGCAAGACTGCGAGCGCAACTGCGCCGACGTCACGTCCAACTGCCACGCCAGGAGCTGCGCCCATGACTGCTCTGCCAAGCAACGTCCAATGGCCCAGGGCTCCAACCACCTTCCCTCATGCCCCTCCATCGCCGACTGCGACCACTCCACGCCCACACTCTTCCGCTACGGCTTCGTGCTCAGGGACGTCCACAGCCTCGCCGGCTCTACCCACGGACTCCACGCCAAGCGCACCTGCGAGGATCTCTGCATCACGCTCCAAGCAGCCGTAAGGCAAATGAACCCGCTCCACAAGCTGGCACACGACACCATCCCCGAGTTCCTCTTCCACATCCGCCTACCCTTCCTCCTCACCCTGGCAGCGCTCTGGCTCACCGCCCTCGCCTACATCCTCGTCTCACTCCTCTACCGCATGGACGTCTTGCGCATCCGCTCCCACCTTCTCACCACCAGGGCCTCCCACCTCATCGACGTCAAGGCGCTGCTCGCCGGAAGCCGCAGGATGCTCTCACTCTACAAGGACGTCGACTACTTCGACGACGACTTCCACTCGTGACAGTAATTATCTGAGCTACATTACATTTACATTCCTCGTGTTGCCATGTCATGTCACGTCTTTCCTTGTGACTGTGTCTCGTGCCTTGCCGAGCACCTAAGTCACTGCCTAAGCAAGTGGCTCACCTAGCACGTAACCAAGCACATAACCTAAGATGTAACCTACCACCTAACCCACAATTTACTAGATGCGTTGGGATGTTCGTTGCTTCACACGCCACCCGTGAACGTGTCCACACTGTTGCCTAATTTCAAAACACCGTGAAGATGACTGCTTGCTATCTCCCCACCGCTGTGCCGGGCGAGTGTCTCACACGTCCGTTACCATGTGCGTTCGCAGGCAGTGAAGTCGTTGTGACGGCCATTGTACAGCCTAGTCAAGCGGCATCTATGACCACATTGTGGCGGCCGGTAATACAGTAGTCACTGCCCTCATAGCTGCACTCATCGTTTGCCTCGTCACCTATCTCCTCAAATGGCGAACATTAATACGCTGCGTGATTACATCAATTAGCATTGGATATTAATTGAATTATTATTCCTTACAAGATGGTTTCATACAATTCTAATATTGCACTGATTACGTGGCGTCATTGTACCCGCATCCTTCATCTCCATACCATCCCTTTACTCCCCGACTCCACAAATACCGCACAGCTTTCTCTCCGCAGCTGTCCGGCCACCTCCACGACACGACACCAGCAGCATCATTCAGTCCACTTAGCCATCCAGTAGCAAACTCACATTCGACGTAGAAGTACTACCGGCGTCACCCTCAATTTCGAGGTTTAGGTTTAGGTTATGCTTTACGTCAGCAACACCAAACTTGCCACCTAACCTACCACCTAACCAAACGCCTAACCTAGCACATAACCAAAAGCCTCACCTAGCAACTGACCAAACGTCTTACCTAGCACCTAACCAAACGGCTGACCAAACGCCTCACCTAGCACATAACCAAAGATGTAACCTACTCGCTGCTTTGTCATCTCCCTTCTCCCTTTTTCGCCTTGCCGTCACTCCCAAAGCAGCCTCCTTCATCCCTCCTTTCAGTGGATTGAGGCTGCGGACGCCGCCATCAAGGCGGCTAAGGTGAAGGCGGAAAATGTGCATGACAACTTGGATCATAGTGATAATAATGGTGATCCAAAGACTCCGATTGGTCAGGGGGTTAAGCAGATTAAGGATGCTAAAGGAAAAGTTAGTCAAGTTGATGGTCAGTTGAAACGTATTCACAGTGATTTAGGTAACTGGAAAGATGCGGCAAGCGGCGTCCTTGAGACAGCGGTTAGTAAGGCTGGAGATGTGCGTGAAAAGTTGGATCCTAATCAGAAAGATGACATGCATCCTATTGGTCACAACATTGACAAGATTCACACTTCCAACGAAGCGATTAAAGAAGCAAATTCGCAACTTAAATCACAAGTCGACAGCCTTAGTAATTGGATCGACACCGCGGAGGAGATCCGCCAAAAGGCCCAGCAGAAAGCGGAAGAGGCTTATAAAAGCTAAAACCTCATGAGGCTCTGAGTAAGAAAATCGGAGAGATTATGGATGCTAATAAGAAAATTAAAGATGTTCATAAAAATTTTGGTGGACATCTTGGAAGTTTGAATAGTTGGAAGCAGCAGGCCAGGACAGTGCTTGACGGGGCGATTGGGAAGGCGACGGAAGTGTATACCAAGTTGGATCCTGATCAAAATGTTGACGCTACAAAACATCCCGTTGGACATCGGATTCATCAAATAAGCACAAATAACTCTGATATTCAGTCTGCAAATGGCTTACTTAAAACTGAAGTTGAGCATTTGAATAAGTGGAAGACTGCGGCCGGGGATGTCATTGACAAGGCGGAGGTGAAGTGTGATGAGATACTTAAGAAAGTTAGCACTAAGTCCTCCGAAAGTGTAATTTTCACGCAAGCTGAAATTTTACAAAAGAAAGGTACGACACTTTTGAAGGCTGCGACGCAGGCTAAGCAGCAAGTTGGGACATTGGTCACTGAAGCACTGAAGGCTGTTGTGGAAATGGACGGAGATCTCAAGAGGGATTTGAGGACAGTGAGAGAGGAGATTAAGAAAGGTATAGAGAGTGTGATTAATACGTTGAAGGTTAAGGAGTTGGATGGTTTGGTGAAACAGGATTTGGGGACGTTGAGGGGGAAGATTTTGGAGCTTGCCAATGGTGTGCAAAATGATAAGGCTGGCGGTAATGGTCTTGTAAGTGGGCAACTGAAAAAACTGGGAGAGGCGAACACGCAGTTTAATGAGAAAACTACGGCAATTCAGCAAGCGGAAAGAGAGCTTGGAGATAAGTTCAAGAATCAGATCCAAAGTCCGCTTACCCAGGCGGTAGGTGCAGTTGACACGGCGATTGGGACGCTTGGCGGGAAGTTTGAGTTGAGAGGCGGAAGTGAAAAGAAACGTGAAGAGATTTTTAAACAGATTAAAGAAAAGGTTGGGGAGATTAAGGGGGAGGCAGGAATGTTTGCTCCAAATGGTCAATGGAATCCCCCGGGCTCAGGCCTGGATGGTATTAAGAGTAAGGTGGGAAATTATTTCAATGCGTTCAGCGGGAGTAAGTTCAAGAATATAGTGAAGGGCTGGATTGAGAAGACTATTTTGCCGCATAACGGTTTGGTCAGTGATAGGATTAACGACAAGATTTTTGGAGGGAGTAGAGAGAACTCTATCCAGAAAATGGCAGGTGAAATTAAGGATGCACTTGGCGGCGAAGCAACTGAAGCCGGTGGAGTGGTTCAAGCAAAAAGCGGCGGTGCAGAAGACATCGCAAAACGCATCCAAGCTGTGAAGGAGGGTTGCGAGGCATTTGCCAAAACGCTTGATGAGAAGCTGAAGAAAACGGACAGTGCTGTCTCTGGCATAGTCTCTAAGGTTAAGGGGCTGTTGACACACATACAATCCACCGCAAAATGCATATGCTACTGCACCCACTGCAGCGGCGAAGAATGTAAAAGAAAATCCTTCATCGCCGCCGTACTCTGTGCCCTCACCTCTACAGCCCGGCAGGTGGGCAACGAACTGAAGTCCGTGCTGCTCGATCCACCAAACGGAAACAGCATCGCATCCATCCTGGACACTATCACTCCGATTGCTAAGGAACTTGATGACAAGCTTCACAATTCCCTTCCTCCCCCCGGCCAAAAGGAAAGCCCCGCCCATGCTGTGGACAAGACGTTGGAGGCGGTGAGGGATTTCGTGAGTGGAACAGGTGGCAAAGAGAATATTACCAACACGTTTAAAAACAATGTCAAAGGACCACTTAAGACAGTGGTTGATCAACTTCCCACCGCCGTCTCCACCTTCAACTCCACCGCCGAACAGCAGATCAGGGCTGCCGCCCAGACGGCGATCAGCAGGGCGGCGGAGCAGATTAGTTCCACCAGTGATCCAAAGGACATTGACTTGTCGCAGAAAATGAATACCTTCAACTCTCAGTTCACTCAAATCAGAGATAACCTCAATAAAAGACTTGATGAGCAAGTTGACGAGCACATTGGGCAGGATGTTCAGGCAGGTCAGCAGGGTGGTCAAGCTGAGAAAGTCACCATTACTAGTACAAATTTCAAGAATTATAATGATCACGTTAAACAAGAAGAGATTAAGCAAGGCAAACTACAAGGCATCACATCTGAAGGCCTCCTCCCCAAGGCCATCGGGAAGATCAGGGATGAGGGGCTGCAGCCGCTTGAAGGTGTTATTGGTGATGGTGTCGGTAAAATGTCTGAGGAAGAGACATTTAAAAAGCCTTTCCAAGAAATTCAGAGTGAGCTTGAAGGGATCAGGACATTGGTTGAGAAGCAGCAGCCGCCAGGCCCGGACGCTGAAGGTGTAAAAGATCTGTTGGAGAAGCTTCAAGATGCACTGAATACAGGGAGGTTGGAAAAAGCTGATAAAGGCCTCCACGCAATTTGTGATGAGATTAGTAAGCTGCAAAAAGAACCGTTTGGTACTAAACCCGGCGAAATTGAGAAATCCGTCCAAGCAATTAAGACGCAGCTTCAACAGCTTAGGGGGAAATTACAAAATCCTAAGGGTCAAAAAGTAGATGTAATTTTGACATTGAAAGATTTGAGAGAGAAGGGTATTAATAGTGATTGGACATTTGAAAGAAAGTGGAACACAATCGATAATTTAACAACAATCCAGAAGCATCTTAAAAAGCAGAATGATGAATTGCCTAAACAGACAACAGAAATCGATGAGGCCATTAGAGAAATTACTTGGCAACTTCACCTCACAAGATTCAAGTTGGATCATAAACACAGCACCGATGATATCACCGACCAGTTGAAGTGGCTGGGCAGGAAACTCGGCAAAAATGGAGACAAGGATCGCGTTAACCTTCAAGACATTCATTATACGATTTCATGGCTGCAACAAAATCATTTTACCAATTGTCCCCAAATCATCCAGGGAGCCAACTCAGCAATCAAAGCGGAACTCAAAGCGCAGAGGAGCACGCTGGACAGTGACGTCATCAAGACGCTGACCAATTTGATGACCAATGGGCTGAGTGAACAGGCAAGTTGGAAGCTTTTTAATGGTAGTGATGTTAATGGTCTCCAAAAAATTATGAGTGACCTCAGCACTCAACAAAGTGAGTTGCACAAACAGCCCACTGAAATAAAGCAAGGCGTCGACAAAATCACCGATGAGCTTACAAGGCTGAGGAAGCAGTTGCTGGGTGAGGATGGCAAAGATGCAGATAAAAGAGGCGTGATAAGGAATATGGACGACGTGATTGAGAAGATTGGCAGAGGCAAAGGAAATGGACTTGAAGGCATTGAAAAAGCAATTGCAGAGCTCAACAGGGATACAGTCCCTGACATCAACAAATTCCTTGGTGAACTGTGCGCCAAGATTGCGAGCGAAGCCGGTAGTGTGGATTGGAAGTTGGGGCTTTTCAAAGATCATAACATCGACAAAGACCTCGCAAAAATCAAGACACAAATTGACACCCTCCGCATCCGTGACCTCCAGGAGGCCATCGCCATGTGCGACAAGTTCCTCACCAACGCCGATTACATAAAATGGGAGAAAGTAGAAAACATTGAACGCTTCGTAGACAGTGAGATTGAAAAGGCAATCGCGGAGCTCACCAAGGAGGCGCGGCGTGACTACGTGGAGTCCGCGAAGGACGCGCTGAAACACTTTGCCGACAAGGTGGCCGAGGAGCTGGGGGAGCTGCCCGGCGAGATAAACAGGGATCTCTTCGTGGGCTTCAAGGGCTTCATGAGGCAGATGGAGGGTGAGCGCAGCGAAAACATTAATAGGCTAAGGAACGTGCAGAGCAGAATGCCTGAGCATTGTCCTCCGCGTTCCAGAATTTCTTCGCGCCGCTCCACGAGTATCTCCGTGAGGAGATTGAGAGAGTGAAGAAGCAGAGTGACGACGAAAAGAATCCCTCACTGCCGAAGTCGGAAGAGCCCTACGCCGCCGAGTGGGACGCCGTGCACAGCGATGTCAACGCCCTGCTCAATTACCTCTGCGTGACGCAGGGCTTCGACGACAGGCTGCGAGGCCTGCTCCACAACCTCACCGACGCGCTCACACAGCTGAGGCCGCAGGGCTTCCAGAAGCCCTCCACTCCCACGCTGGACTCCGTGAGCAGGGGACTCAGTGCCTTCGTCGGGGAGTTCGGCGGTGCGTACATCTCCACTTACTCGGGCGCGGAGTGCCGGGAGGCGGACGCCGACAAGTACGCCAAGGTGTTGCTTAGCATGATCCCGATGACGCACGAGGCGCTTAGCAACCTGGTAGCCAAATGCGGCACCAACTGGCGAAGCTATAAGATATGCAAGCTCACCGGCGACGACAGGGACAACGGCCTGGGCAACTACCTCACTAAATGCGGCTTCAAGGTGTCACCCACCGACGGACTCCAGGTGGGGGAATTGCAAAACCACGGCGACATGAACGGTGAGCAAATTCATGCTTTGCTTAACTCCCCAGTTGATGTCAGCGTCAAAATGCTGATCGACGGCAAGCCTGCGGAAAACGGAATTAATGTTGTCAACTTAGTTGGTCTTCTTCATAACATGCTTTGTCGCTACCTCCAGGTCTGCCACCTTAAAGTACACGAATCGCCCAGGTACCCCTGCACGGTGAGGGACATGTTGTCTTGGCTCTCAGGCCTGCAGTACACTCCGGTGGCGGACAAACTGCCTGACCACTGCAGGGCGTTGCTCAACCGCAAGTGCGACGATAGCGATACGCCCAACAGGGACGACGCTATCATGGCACGGTGCATCAACGGCCTGCCGTTCACTATCGCAGAAGCGTGTGCGCACTCCAACTCACTGCTCGTAAGTATCCAAGGCCATGGCCGCGGCTTCGACCTGGCCGCCTACCCCTACTCCGTCGACTTCGCCAACAACCGCGCACAGCTGTACTACCCGGCTGACCCTGCAGATCTCTTGGATATACTGAGAAACATACTCTGCCGTCTGTGCCCCGTGCTGTATTTCCTCTACGCCCAGTGCTGCCGTGCCACCGCCACAACCAAGGGCTGGCGGGAGTGCCACTACGGTCGGCAGGTGCCGTCCTCCCACTGGCAATGTAACCCATTAAACAAGCAGGCCACCGACGCAAGTCACAACTGCCCGCCCACCTCGCCGCTCCAGTCCTTCCTCACCGACAGCTGTCCTAACCTCCTGCCGCATAAGCTTACCGCTACTGACAATGCCATCGAATGCGTCGACTGCCCCGGCAATCAACCCGGCCAGCAGTGCCTCACCCCGCTCGGCTTCTGGGACCTCGGCCTCGCTGCCTCAGTAGAGCGCACCGGCAGGGAACTTGCGAAGTCACTCGGCCGTCTCTGCAGTGACGCCGACGCCTGCCTCTTCCAACTCTGCCGAACGCTGCGCTTGCTGTGCCCCTCAGCACCGCAGTCACTCGGCGACGTGTTCGCGCTGTTCTTCCAAATGCTCAGAATGTGGGATCACGAATCGTCCCGGCGTGCGTACTCTCACCATGAGAGTTACCTAACGCATCTGAGCGATGAGGCCATCGACAAGCTGTTCCCTCTGTGGACACAGCTCCACGGCAGTTACCAGAACAGCAATCTCACCGACGCGCTCAAGGCACTCGCCGGGCACGACCATGACAACTCAGGGCACAATGCCCTCTCAAGCCTCTCCGCCGAGCCCCCTTGTCAATCACCCAGTGGATGCGCCCCCTTCCTCCAGCCGCTGGCGCTGCACGCCAACCACACCTTCCCGCAGAAGCACGCACAGCTGTATGTCTCGTGGATAGTGTGGCTGGCATGGCAGCTGTGGGAGCTGCTGGAGTCCCTGCTGGACGCCTTGAACAACATCGACTGCACGGCCCACGGCTGTGCCACGTGCCTCTGTCAGCCAAGCAACCACAACGACAAGGACTCCTGCCACTGCCCGTCACTCGTCGAATGTGGCGGACCTCTGCCGACACTCTACCGCTACGGATTCACGTATCGCAACGCCCACGCCCTGCTCGCCGGCAGCCAGAAGATACGGTGCAGTGACCTCAACGACCAACTCACCAAGGCACTCCACTCCGACCACTTCACTCAACTGTTCCACCAGATCGACCAACTCCTCTACACCATCCGTATGCCCTTCCTCTTCGCCATCACAGCGCTCTGGCTCACCGCCACGCTCTACATCGCCCACTCACTCCTCTACCGCATGGACGTCCTCCGCATCCGCTCCCACCTCCTCACCACCAGGGCCTCCCACCTCATCGACGTCAAGGCGCTGCTCGCCGGCAGCCGCAGGATGCTCTCACTCTACAAGGACGTCGACTACTTCGACGACGACTTTCACTCGTGACAGTAATTATCGTAGCTACATTACGTTTACATTCCTTGTGTTTCCATGTCATGTCACGTCTCTCATCGTGACTGTACACCGTGCCTTGCCTACCACCTAAGTCACTGCCTAAGCAAGTGGCTCACCTAGCACGTAACCAAGCGGCTCACCTAGAACATGACCAAACGTCTTACCTAGCACGTAACCAAACGGCTGACCAAACGCCTCACCTAGCACCTAACTCGCTACTTAACCTATAATCCACTCTATGCCTTGAGTTGCCCCTTGCCTGCCGCCTTGCTCGTC